TGTAAATAGTTGTCTCATCCAGCCTGTCACTCACTGAAAACAAAATGGCTGGCACTTTTGTGGTCATTAGCCTTCTGGATGACAGCTGAAATGGCAAAGGGAAGCTTGAAGCTTATTTGGAACAAGTTTCATGCCAGCCATCTTTGTTTTTGACATGTAAAGAAATGTACCAGGTGTTTTTGGCCGTGGTGTTGATTTATTGTGAATTTCTTATGCAAATTGTATGAATGGCGGATGCTCCATGCTTACCCTTTTCACGAGCACCTGGTGTTATCACTGATTGTCAGTGGTCCATTCATATCATTTCCACAACTATTTGCCTTGTACGTCAAATGGAACCTGTTTTGGCAGAAAATCTAGGCTGGTTATTCTCCTGTGTTGACAGTTTATATTGTTTCTGTGCTTCTCACTGTGCAGAGTTGTGTCCTTTTTGCTAGCTGGAGCAGCTGTTGGTGGATTCCTTAAAACCATTTTGGGGATTTCAAGAGTTATTTTGAGGCATTATCGTTGTGGTAAAGTACATTATGTCACTCCCAGATAGGAACAAAATAGGTTTACATGATCATTTGTCATGTATTTCCTCCAAACAGGGTTCAATCATAATTTCCCACCATAATGTATTAAGGGTTGGTCAAGTGATCCATTTTTTAAACCATACCATGTGTTATGGATATATGGAAAGCTCTTGGAAAGGTGCCTTCAACAACATCACTAAAGTAAATAAAAACTACCAAAACAATGACTTTATAACCATTTCAAAATCCCAATTGTCAGTTTTTGACTGTCTATTTGTAACCCCTTATACTTCAAGACAGGCGGGGGGCGGTCAGGTAGCCTAGTGGTTAAAGTGTTCACTCCTCACACCAAAGACCTGGGTTCGATACCCGACATTGGTACAATGTGTGAAGCCCATTTCTGGTTTCCCCCGCCGTGATATTGCTGGAACTCACTCACTCACTCACTCACTCACTCACTCACTCACTCACTCACTCACTCACTCACTCACTCACTCACTCACTCACTTGTCGAATACACTATGCTGTCTGAGGTAAGATCAGACCTTGGGCAGTAATCTCAATACAAACAGTGAAATTCCAAATTTTAACAGTATTCCAGTTATATCACGGCGTCCATGAATACTGTCATCAATCTCATCCCTCATCACCATCCCCACCCTCAACATCATGACCATTATCATCACTTCAACATTATTGTTTCCATCTTCAATATAACCACCTCCACCATCACCATCATCATCATCATCTCCACCCTCGAGATCATCGCCGTCATTCACTCCATCTTCATCAACATAACCGGGACAGGGGTGGCCCAGACATCTAATGTGCCGCAATTTGCTATGCAGAGTTGCAGCCTTTAGGAACACCAGGAACCTATGATTGTGGGTTCAAATCCCGGATCGCCCTGATTATGTTTCTATGTTTGTCAGCACAATACCCATGCTCGTTGGTTTCACCATTGGCAAATATCTGAGATGTGCATCACTTCGGGCTTACCGCCTACATTAAGCTAACTGAAGGCAGGATAAAACTAGAATACTGTTCAAACAGCATTAAATCCACTCACTTATTCACTCACTCATTCACATCTTCTCCTCCCTAACCATTTTCTTTTAATTTTTCTCAGCTACTTCAACATTGCCAAGGAAGTAGAGCTGCAGAATTTCTGTCGACGGAGCCTTCCTCTAATCTCAACACTATCCTTAATTCTAACAATTTTGCGTATGAATGCATGTGAATCCTAAATGAGTTGCTTGTCCACACAATTGAACAGGATAATTATGTGCTTAATGACATTTTGTCAGTTTGGAAAAATGTAATATTGCCTGCAAGCCCTGTGCTAGATCAGCATCTCAGCTGAAGCTCACAAAGCTACCCAGTGATGCAGACTGGTCTAGGTCTGGCCCTACATTATAAGCCCTGATGAGATTGTCCTGTGTTGGAGTGGGCCTGTTCTGACATTATTGGCCACAACCTTGACAGTTAACATGAGTTATTACGACAGGCTGTATATCCATGCCAAGACAAATATAGGTTTAAAAACAGTCAGCTGGCATTTAGATGTGATTTAGCTTCATTTTGGTGTCAATTTCTGATAATGTTATACGCTTTTGATGACTTGTTCCGTAACACAGGCCTTTTTCATTGCAGAATGTCTGTTTGGGTTTACTGCAATTCTGTTCTTATGTGTCAGATTGGTTTCAATGCTTCTTTGTGTGGATGCATGGTTTATTGAAATTGTTGTGATTAAAACTGAATCTGAACTTTTACTTTTGGTAATTACTTTTATTTCTAGCTCACCTGACCGAAAGTCAACATGTCTGAAATATTGGTAACTGCAGCATGACAAAATTCACTCACTCATTCAAGTGTGGACAGGCAGAAGACCTTCCATGTGGTTAAAGGGACATCTATGAATTCCTCTTTTTCAAAACATTTTCATATCAGATTTACTGTTGCTTTCATTGCACACCCATTGTTTCTGATAATGTCTGAAAGTCCCATCCCTATTCCAACCATTACTTCTTGTGCTTAAAACTCTCGGGAAGAAAGTTTGTTTTCATTAATGTATTGGGGCGGTCGGGTAGTCTAGTGGTTAAGACATTCGCTCATCATGCTGAAGACCCAGGTTTCCCGACATGGGTACAATATGTGAACCCCATATCTGGTTGCCCTGCTGTAATATTGCTGGAATATTGCTCAAAGTAACGTTAAACCATACTCACTCACTCACTCACTCACTCACTCACTCACTCACTCACTCACTCACTCACTCACTCACTCACTCACTCACTCACTCACTCACTCACTCACTCACTCACTCACTCACTCACTCACTCACTCACTCACTCATTTGTGTATTTATTTCTTCTTTGCTTTTTCATGAATGGCATAAATTCTGTCACTGCACCATGAAATTCAAATTACAGACTGAAAGGCAAAATTTGAATGCCGATAGCTTGCCCAGAAGTTTCTGCATTTCCTTGCAATCATCAAGACACAAAAGCTTCTGAAGTGGCTGTGGAGATCTCATGAAGCACAATTCCATGGTCATCATACTTCTTTGAGGACAAGTGACACATTAGTTGTGACTGAGTGACTTTTATTGTCACATGGTTAATCCCTCTCTCCTTCAGGAGCCTATAAACCATAGAGGGTTAAATGTAATCTGACTCTGTGAGTCATCCAATGGTCTAATAAGTCCTGCAGTGTCGTTATAGAAACACTCAACTTGTCATTTCGTTCGACCTGTTGTCTATTACGCCATCGCTAAAGGTGAGCAATTTCACGCTCTTGGCTATAAATGACCAATCGGCGCTTACGCACTGGGTTTCACGCTCGTGTTATCAGAAATTGTGTCTATTGGCTAAATAGCCAAAGGTGACCAAAGGGAATAAAACCAAAATTGGCGCTGTAGCAGGCTGAGAAGGATATAAGAGAAACACTCTTCTGTTCAGTTAGAGATTTGTTTTGCTTTGGTTCGATGGTAGGATGTTATGATTGATGGAGTGAGGGACAGGGGGAAAATATCAAGTTCATTAATCATTGAAAATAGAGAAATAAACTGGAGGAGAATAGTGATTTAGGATTACCCATTTTCAGATGAATCAGTTGTGCTCTTTAAATTGGAATGGAAATCCATCGTTGTCCAAAAGGATTCATTTTAAAGTGTCATTTATTATCAACGGCATCTGTCTGTATGAAAATAGAGCCAAACTTTCTCATCACCAGCACTCTGGTTGGGCCTTTGATGTGTTTCTTTTTTTGGTCAGCTTGTTTCGATAGCTGTGTCGAAAAGCCATATGTTATTGCAGTCACGTTTGTGGCAGAGTGACCTGACACTTGACCCAAGTTCTTATAAGAATGGTGGACATGGGGAAAGAAAAACATTACCGTGACGAATTCAGAGTTTGAAATTTAAAGAAATGCCAGGCTGCCTCAGTACCAACAGATTTTAGAAGCTGTAAGCCCTGACTAAACTCTTCAGGCCCCCATTAAAAAGCTTATTGTGAAAATTAAAAGACACGAAATTAAAGCAGGCCATAAGGGCCCATACAAATTTAAAACTACGGGCCTGGGACAAGATCTACCTGCCACAGGTGTATGGGCAAGCGTTTATCTGAACACTGGTGTAATCTGTCAATTGCCTTCCTTTTAAAAAAATATGTTATCAATGCTCACGATAGACGTTTCTGCGTACTATGATATGCATATGGTAATCATAGCTACTTAGGGCTCTTTGCTTTCCTATTATCTATGTTGCAAGCACACCTCGGGATGGTGCAGTATTGATTTGAAAAAATCAATCTTTAGGGATCATGAATTTTTGCAGTTGAAGGACAAAATTGAGGAGACGAAATGAGTTTCTTTATTAGCTGGTATAGTTGGGGTGCTGTCAATGGTGTCACTTACACCTTTCAAAGATTCATTTTGGCTCTGCCCTCTGATTTCTTGATGGAGCTCATTTAATATAGTTAGGTTGGTTTTTTTTCTTCATGTTGGAAAGTTGATGTGTGTTTTTTATCGAATATCCCTTTCTTCATGCTCAAAAACTGGTTACACTGAAATCGTTTGAAAAAATAATGGATGCATGTTTCTTCCCTCAAGGAACTGTCACAGATATGTCTTGTCAGATTCATACCAGCAGACATTAACATTTTTCTGTTTGCTTTTTATTCCATCTTGTCAGAACTAGGGAAAAAACATGTTCAATATATTCATCTTTTTCGCATGCCCTTCAGCAATTTCCAGGCAGATATTCATATAATGAAATGGTATTCCACGATAATCACGATGTTGTTTTAGGGATGCATTATTTCTCTTAAGGTTGATCTTCTCCAGAGAATTCAGATCTTACAGCAGAGCCAAAGGATGATAAACAAAGATGAACAACTTACTTTATTTCAGGCTATTAGTCTCATATAGGATAAGACAAGGATGCTGGTGTTGGTATGAAGCTTCATTGAACTGGTTTATTTTCAGACTCTGATGCCACCTATCTGAGTTTTGCCAACCCCAACTACCATTTTGAAGATCGTCTCAACTCCAACCTGTCCAACAATAACAACAACAACAACAGCCAGGATGAAAACGTCAATAGCGAGAACGACAAGAACCTTACCCTCACCGACACCAAGGTGACCCTGAACCGGAAGAAATATGCAAACATGGACTTATCCGACATGGGCATCATCACCAGCCCTGTGAAACTCCTCTCCCCGGATAAAACATTCATTCTGGATAAGCTGAACTCGCCCGACAGCGATGAGAACAGCGACGACGAGACGTATGGGCGTCGCCACTTTGATGAGACAGATGACCTGCTGGAAGGGAGCGAGATCAAGGAGGACGATGAGGTCACCTGTTACACCAACATCCCTGCCAAGCCAAAGGGGTTCATGGGGTATTACTCCCTTCTGGAGGCCAAAGCACGTGAGCGGCAGAACACACAAATAGACAGTCCTGACAGTCATGATGATGGCTTGGATGTTGTGGAAGATGAAGAAACCCCCCTGGAAGAAAAACCTCCTGAAGAAAAGTAAGAATTGTGCCTTATCCCCAAATGTCTCTATGATTTGTTTTCACACGTTTGTGAGCTAAAGTTTTTGAGCTGAATAGTTTTCAGTAAATCCTGATCACTTGTTTTCTTGGTCTAAATCTTAGACTAAAAGAAACTGTTCACATTTGGGTAGTCATTTCTGCACCATGAAAAAGAAAAGAGGCTATGACAAGCATAATTATTTTAAAAAGTAATCATTCAAGAAACAATTTCAACTTAATTTGGTTACTAATCACAGGAGCTAGGTGATTTTCAAGAGTATATGACCCAGGTCAGATTGCATAATGTTTCAATGTCAAAAGCATGTTCTGGTGTTCCCTGCCTCATATAGCTGTAGTTTTTCTGAAATAAGACTGAACCTGACACTCTCATTCATTGCTGCTTGTTCAGGTTCGAGGAGAGCACCATGATCAACTCCCCTGACTCCAATGACAGTGGTATCCAGTCGGACGCCCGCTCAGACGATGGCGTGAGTCATGTGTCGGGACCGGTCAATGAGGATGACCTTGAGGTGGACAAACCCCAGAAAGATTCTTCAGAGGAGGAGGTGAGATGTTCACATGATCAACAAACTTTATGATGGTGTTGAATTAATTTACCTTATTATTAGTTGTGCCCAAAACGCTTTTGATACAAAACCCTTTTAAAAATGACCACGTATCAGAGTCAATTTACTACAAATTGATTTTTGTTTGTTTCACATAGTTAAAAATAGTGTTGACAAAAAGGTTAATGTATTTAGGGACTGACAGTATTAATTGTTTACAAAGACTGATTTTGTCTTAGGTCTCCTGTGGTTGACAATGGTATAGGGATCTATACCGAAACGTCGCCTTTACAGTATTAAAGAAGTTGTTATCCATAAATTGTGTCTACTTTGTCATCGGTCAACTTCAAAGTAATGCCTACCTCCTGTGCAGATGATGATATCTCAAGAACAAATTTTTTATTTGCCTTGTTAATTTTGTTTCCACCCTAGGTTATAAATATAAGTTGACTGTTGTTACTGGTGTGATTCTCTCTCATACCCTGGTATGCATCACATTGTTATGTTTGCATATACATACCAGGGCCCACTTGCACAAAGCGATCTTAGCGATAAGATGATCGTAACTCTCATACTTTAACATAGGCTTACGATAGTCTTAGCGCAAAGATGGCTTTGTGCAAGAGGGCCCAGGACAGTGTGTCTTAACACTCCATATAAGAGTAAATTATGTTTCACTTTTGTTTGGCTTTTGGAATTAGACATTTTTTCCATTCCAGAAATAATTTAGTTGAAATAAAGAACAGTGAAAATATTTTGTAATTTAAATCTGTATAATTATTCCACATCCCGGCAGTTTTCTGGCAACGGTTGTCAGGCAAATTGTTCATCAATGGCAGAGGGCCATATAACTCAATAACAACAGGCAAAGATGTCAGACAAATCTGTAAAAAAAGATGGTCAACTTTGTGAATGTTTTCATATTCAGTGCAGATGTCAAACAACAGCTAAATTGTTATGGTTAATTACCCCAAGAATACCTAGTCCTTTGATTAACCCTTCAGTCCAGTCTTCTGAACAGATGTTATTGTTCTTCTGAATGACCATCTCCCAAATCATCAATTACAAATTACTGGTCCCACAATAGCTCATATGGCCTTAATCTAATCTTACCAAATTGATCGTAATTAATCTGCAGAGTCTGGTTATGGGGGTAGTTAATTTCCTTCTCGTAATTGTTGATTTCCACATGATTAGACATGAGCAGTGTGTTGATCGGATCAATTAGTGATCCTCGGGAACATGAAGTGAATATACTTAATCGTTGGTTTTATGACAGATGTCTCGGATGATGGCAGTCTCTTTGGTCATTAAGGGATGTTTCAATAACCACTGAGATGTACAGTGTCTAATTGTAGTGTTTACAAATTAATTTATCATACCTCCATGTCAGAATGAGATCTAATTGGTCCACGTGATCTTAATAAATACTATGTATCCTGCCTTGGAGGGAAATAAATTTCTCAGTGGGAAAATAAATCCCTTATGCCCTGCCACGAACCAGATTTCTGATAGGCTGAATAAATCCTTTATACTCATCACGCCTTTTACTCAAGTCAGTGAAAGTCACCTGACATAACACAAGTTAATCTTAGTTCAATGGAACAGCTGTTTTCTGTCAATTTTGAATTTGTTTTAATTCTTTTACTATGTCATATTAAAACATGATAACTTAGTTGTAGCAGTATCACTAGGGGTACATGTGTTTTTTTGCGTCCCCCTTTAGGTTTTATGCCACACGTACCCCTCGTGATACTCCTACAACTTATTACATGTATACAACACAAGTTATAGGCATTTGTATGTGGAAGCCTTTCTGGGCCAAGAAGTTTCATGTTCATGTATGATAGAGAGATAGATAGAGATAGGCCTAAAAAACAAATGTATGTCTCTCCAGTTTCCCAACCAACCCTAATTTGGAGCCCAACACACTTAAGCTTTTCATGTGTTTAAATCTCTCTCTCTCTCTCTCTCTCTCTCTCTCTCTCTCTCTCTCTCTCTCTCCTTTCCCCCCCCCCCCCCCCCAACGCGTCAAACACATTGGCATGAATCACAATGCGATTTAGCCCTCTAGGTGGTACGGAGGCATGCTTCTCTTTTCTCTCCCCCTCCAATGATAATTTCAACATCTAAACTGCAAATTGTGCAATCTAGAGCAGCAATTTGGAATAAGAATAAAAAATCTTTTTCAAACATATTTCTTGTTATTTAAGCTGGATAAATAATCAAACTTATTACAATGTTCTACCTTATCCTACAATTTAATCATCCTAGACAATAGGTCTAGCTTAGTTTCACAAATCATAAACCGATTAGAATTTTGACAGCCAGAGGCCATCATTCTACCATTTGTTTTACATTCAATCAGTGGAAGGAAACACATTATTCTAAACTCGCACATTCCAAGTTCTCTTACACATTCGTGGAACATAATAATGGATAATATTCAGTTTTTACCAGAGCATTGAATTTTGCTAACTATTACTTCGATCCTGCTTTCCACCAAAATAACTGCAGACTAATATCAATACTATATTCAGTCCCAGTGGTGTTAAGTAGCACAAAAAACGTATTATCTAGTGCATGTAAGTTCACCTCAAAGTAGATGCCTTTGTACATGATTGGGCTGCTTAGTGGTTGGAACTTTAAAAGAAAAAGTGTTTTTTGGAAGTTCATGTATGTGTAAAGGAAGTTGTTCTCGCACACCTGTCGTGTCATACAAATTTGTAGTCATTTTTGGGGGGAGATGTTGATGTTCGGAAAGTTTTTTAAACTGCTTTCAAGATTGTTTGAAATTACACACATTTTTCTGAAAACAATTGAACATCCGTTGCTATATCTTTGGTTAATTTGCTCCCAATTTAAAGGATCTCATGTGGAACAAATGATATAGGAAAGTTTCATTCCTAGATTCCTTGAAGGGTACAAATTTTATTATTGAAATAAATTTGTTTTATTGCTATCTGACTTTAAAAAGTTGCTATGAACAAGATTTTCTGAGGGGCTTTGAGTTTTAGTGCCCCGACATTGAAATATAAACTTTAACTAACTTTCAGTAACTTTAAATAATATCTTTCATTTGACACCAGAGTATGAAATGTCTGTATTGTTTCTGTTTTCAAGTACTGACAGATGCTGTTTTGTTTCAACTTTTCAGTCAATGTCAAATATTTTGAGATTATTTTATGATTATCAAAAAGTACTACAAAAGGTTTTAAGCCTTGCAATACAGTTTATATTTCTGTCACCATTTTCGCTTTTATTCGTCGGAGGATTGGTAAACCAATTAAAGAAATGCAAGGCCCAAACAGTATGAAGGAACAGAGAGGACGAGACTGCTTCAAAAGAATGTGACATACTTTGGGGGATGGCCGTAGGTTTTTGTGACCAAATTTCAGGACAGATCTGTCACTATTAAAGAAAGTGTTGGCTGAACTGTTCCAGGATTTAGAGGACAAATTGAAACATAGTGCCCTACATCTTGTCTTAAGTGTTTCCTTTTCTCAAAGATTATGAAATATCACCTTCTGGTGAAGCTTCAGATGGAGACGAAGTGCATTCCACAATTAGACCAGCAATTCATCGTATAGCGATAAAGAATTGGTTACATTTCATTTGTGTAGGATGTTTGATGAATTAACAGGGATTAAATATAACTGTTTTTTGAGAATCAGTTTGGGTTTTATCATTAGTGATACAGTAAACCACGTATATAACGAACACGCTTATAATGAACAGACGGATATAACGAACTGGTTTTTTTTGTCCGAACATTTGCTGTATATATGCTTATAATGAACTATGGTTACAACGAACTAAATTAGTGGTCCCCTTGAGTTTGTTATAACTGTAGTTTACTGTAGGTTTGAATGGATCGTTCCCATGAAGCAGTAATGGGTGATATCCATTAGTCAGAAGACATGTTTTTATATATGATTTTAAGTTTTCCAAATCATTACATTATCAACGAAGTTATAGTACCTGTATATCCTTATAATGATGTCAGGAATAAGATTGTGTGGCAGGTGTGGATGAAAATCAAATAATGATTTTAATATGATGTTATATTCTTATAATATTGTACTGTCAATTACCCTCTATCTTTTACCTGGGGCGGTCGGGTAGCCTAGTGGTTAAAGCGTTCGCTCGTCACGCCGTAGACCCGGGTTCGATTCCCGACATGGGTGCAATGTGTGAAGCCCATTTCTGGTGTCCCCCGCCTTGATATTGCTGGAATATTGCTAAAAGCGGCGAAAACCATATTCACTCACTCTATCTTTTACCTGAAGATTTTAGCAATGGTTGAATTTTCAAACTAATATTGATTAGTTTTCTTTCAAAATCAATTATTGACATTGATTATAAATATGAAACGAATCATTGCCCCAGTATAAGGCGACAAGTCAATCATCAGTACTGACTGATCGTTGGACCATCACTGTTGCCCCACACACGACAAACTAATCCATTACTTTTAAGGGAACAGGATCTGTTAGTTCACTTTAAGTCAGGACAGTTCAAAGAGTTCATTTTAGTATCAGAGAATTACTATATTTACTTGTATATTGTGCACCCCCTGAGCATTATGCGCCCCCCCCCCCCCCCCCCCATTCTTGGGTTTTAGGTTTTGGGGAAAATTCCATGTGTAGTGCATAATCAAAAATTATATCGTATTGCTTCAGGTGAACTAACAAGAGATACCGTATTCGACGTAATAAGCGCCCCGCTCTAATAAGCGCCCACGGCGACATTTGATAAGATATTGGCTAGTGAACAATCCCAATTAGCACCCCTTCCGATTGATCAATGTACACAAGACTTATTTATTCGCATATAATACGCACTTATGTGTTATAAGCACCCTTACATTATGGGCATTTAATTTTGGAAAAATATATATATCATACATAAACATTTCAGGCCACGAAATTTATCTTTCATCTCAGTTTTTTTTTCACCAAAATAATATTCTAATAAGAGCCCCCTATTTCTAATTTTGAGAGCGCCCTGGGCGCTTATTACATCGAATACGGTATTATAGTTGAATGAAAATGTGAAATTTGCTATATGACCCCACTAGACATGATGATTTACCCATTTTAACCCTGATCTACCAGTGATCAGTTAAAAAAACAACCAGTATGATAACTGAAAAGAATTCTAGTGCCCTGATAGGAAGAAAGTGTATGTGAAACTAGTATTTTACCAGGAATAATATCTTCCAGTATCATGCTTTTTTTGTTTGCAGTTTTTACTACATATATTTGAAAATAAAATAACCATAAGGTACCATCAGGAATAAATGACTTTCCTCAGTAATCATGGTAACTTTCAGGAGATATGCAGACAGTCTGTATCGGTTTCACTGTGCAAAATAGTGGTTAAGATTATATGAATAGATCTCTGAAAATCAGTGTTGACACCAGCTTTTTACGAAAAGGGTAAGCATCTCCTGCCCTGCCGGTGGGACTTGTACAAACAGCTTTTACTGGTAAATTACTAAGAGTTCTTTCAATGCCTCTAAAAAATCTTGTAAATGATAAAACTTAATTTCACACTCTGTTGAAATGGCTGCCATTTTCACCTACCAGTATCTAAAGAAGTTTCCTTAATCTTAGAAACTTTTTCATGAAACTCTTTTAAATGAAATGAGTTCAATTTCATTTATTTCAAAGACACATTAAGGGACTTACACTTCTTCTAGCAGAAAGTACCCAGGTGTGTTAAACCAACAAAGTTTTCAGGAAATAACAGAAAATCTTTTGACATGGATCATCCACAAACGCCACCAATTACACCTCATTATTCAAGAGAAACCGAACATGGCACTAGGAACAGTAGATACCAATATATGTGTTCTTAAAGAACATAGCCATGTTTTTGTATGTCCTGAGTGAAATATTGAATCTAAATACAATTAGACTCGGTGCGTTGTCAAGCAGACATAATGAGTCTGTGGAGACCTCGACTAACGCTCCTGTCATTTGTTGTTATCCTAAATGGGATTTAGATGTTTCCGAGGATTCCAGGCATGGTGCCAAGGGCAGCAGACCAAAACCTTGATGGACATTTACCCTCGTGGAAACTAATCAGTCTAATTTAAATGTTGATTATGATATTTACCTTAGCCTATTTCAGGCTCTCGGACAGGTTGTGGGCGAGGAATTCAAAAATTGCATTACAAAATGAAGTGAGACTCACATTATCAGGATGTGAGTAATCAAATGGTGGGGACCATATTCTTTTCACACTGTTAATGTTTAATTATGTCTCTGGTAATGTGGATTGTTTACCCGAAGGGAAAAGGATCTTAGGGTGGTTCAGAGTCTGATGTTGATGAACAACTCTGTGATAACATTCAGTGATAGTGATTATGTGTTCATGAATAATTCAGTGTTATTTAAGATGTTTGATTTTAACAATTTGAAAAATGGAATTTTGATGTTCATTGATATGTTTCTATTAGGCAAGCACAGAGGAGTCTGGTACCAGTGAGTCGGAAGAAAGCAGCTCTGAGATCTTGCCCCCTGGCTGGGAAAAATGTGAAGGTGAGGAATTATGATTCGTATTAGAATACCAACTACCACCATGAAGGACATTTTTATCCAGACATGAAATACTAGCATACTGTGTACCCCCTTGAAGGACATTTCTTTCCAGATATTTTTTATCTGGAACATGAAATATTAAAATACTATTTTACGTCCATGAACAACACTTTTATCCTTACTTGAAATACTATAATTCAGTTTTACTTCCATGAGGGACATTTTTATCTGGACAAGAAATTTTAGATTACCGTTTTACCACCAATGAAGGACATTTTTATCTTGGCATGAAATATTAGAATTTTTTTACCACCTTGAAATATGTTTTTATCAAGACAACTCACGTACTGTTTTAGTCCCCTGACCGACTCATACAATTTTATCTTGGCTTGAAACATAAGAATACCATTTTACCACCACAAAGGACTCTTTTATCTTTATCACGCCGAAGACCCGGGTTCGATTCCCGACATGGGTACTATGTGTTAAGCCCATTTCTGGTGTCCCCCGCCGTGATATTGCTGGAATATTGCTAAAAGCGGCGTAAAACCAAACTCACTCACTTTTATCTTGTCATGAAATATTAGAATACCATTTTACCATCTCCAAAGACATTTTTGGCAAGACATGAAACACTACCATACCAGACCTAAGAAGATCCAGGTAGAGAATAGGTTAGCTTCCTAACAACATGTTGTACTCTTGGGGGGATGTGAAGAATGGGGATGGTGTGTCGCCTTGTCACACCGAAGCCCTAAGTTGGATTCCGCACATTGGTACATTGTGTGAAGCCCATTTCTGGTGTCCCTATGCCATGATATTGCTGGAATATTGCTAAAATGGCATAAAACACAACTCACTGTCCTGATTGAAGTTGATGACAAAATTATTGGTCGTATTTATGGAATTTATGCCACTGCACAGACATTTAGAAACAGCTATTTGGAGTATTCAATACATCCAGACAGGTTTTATCATTTTGTGACACCAGACATAGTGATCAATACAATTTGTACCTCACTAAAGTCCGAGATTTCCAAAGGCTGGTGTTAGATGTGTAATCCAAGTGTTGAAACTTAGCCACCATGTTTACAATCATTGTCTTCATCAAAGGAAAATGAATCCGATCAGATAGCCAGATAATTTGATAAATCAACAAATTCAAAATCTCAGCTCAGCATTATGGCCCGAATGTATAACCTATGTCTTTATCAAGACTGAAAAAATCTTGCCCTTGATGCACAGACCTTGAGATTGAGATGAACTAGTGTGATAGAAGTACTGACAACGAGATAGGATGCTGCTACCCCAGAGTTCAATAATGGCATGAAGAATGTTTTTCCCCCCGAAGGTCTTCTTTGTAATTGACTACGCTATAGTACAGAGACAAGATTGATCACCCCATTGTCTTCTTGATCAGTAGTGGGACCCATCTTTGTAGCTTGTTTACTGAAAACACTTTGAAAGTAGAGTCAATACGTTGCTTCAGTGAAGGAAAAAGACACATATGTTTTTGTTTGGTGATGGGTAATTTGTTCAAACTTTTTGGGGTAAATCTCAGGCTCATTGATCACTGTTGATGATATGTGGTGTAGAGTTGGTGTTGAGACAGCAGTAGATGAGGGGTATTAGTTGAACAAATGTCTGTCGAGCTGGAATGTTCGGGGCCACTCATTTATTACAGGGGATGGCAGGCCCTGGAGACAGTGGGGAGGTTTTTATGGAGCGTCATGAAAATCAAGACCAGGGACCAGGGCTCACTTGCACAAATTGATCTTAGTGCTACGATGATCGTAACTCCCATACTCTGACATAGACTTTAGAAGAGCTAAGGTCGCTTGTGTTGGTGGGCCCAGGGTCCAGTTCCACAAGGGGATCTTAGTGCTAAGATGATCGTAACTCCCATACTTTAACACAGACTTATGACAGTCGTAGCACTAAGATCGCTTTGAGGAACGGGGCCCAGGTCCACCAGGTCCACTTAGCGCTATGACTATCACAAATCTGTGCTGAATAATAGGCATTAAGATATTCAAGAAGATCTGTGTCAGAATTGGTCTTCAGCAACCCCGTGCTTGTCGTAAGAGACGACTAAGGGGATCGGTTGGTTAGGCTCACTGACATGGTTGATGCATGTCATCGTATCCTAATTGCATTGATTGATGCTCATGATGTCAATCACTGGATTGTCTGGTCCAGACTTGATTATGTACAGACCTCCGTCATATAGCTGTAATATTGCTGAGTGCGGCATTAAACAACAGATAAAGTTGGTGTTAAGATCCCTAGTTGGTATGTACCCAGCACTCACTAAAGAAGTATTGAGTACAATCCTTGGTAAAATAAATCTCAATATTGTTTTGAGTCAAGACATGGGCTTCAGAATATTTTATTTAGTAGGTTATCATGGGTGCCAAGTTTCCATAACAGTGTAAGTTAGTCTAGTCAGGTATTAGAATTGAAGCTGGCAATATCAAGCTTTCTTGATTTTTGTCTGAAAGACTGCAGGACGTTAAAGATTTTTGTTAAGATTGCCATAGCATCTATTGGGACAATCTTCATAGAGAGTGCCCTAGCATAATATCCCTAACAAAAAGCACTCTCAACAAGGCTCGAAAACAGTTTGCGAGTCCATTAATACCTCTTGACATTTTCCTGTTGCCCAAAATGGAAGCATTCATTACATGTGACAAGGAGTGCAGCATGGAGTTGTATTTAGTCAAGTTCTTTTCAGACCAAAATTACTATTGACTTCCATTTCTAAAAGGGACAAAAATTAAATTTTACCTTGTGCAGCCTCAAGTCAATTTTCTATAAATGAAATTATTCATGCAATGCTTTTGTGAAGTAGCTTGATCTGCTGTGATAGCGTTTTTTTGTGCGTAAAAACGTCACTTGTTAATTTAAGTTTTTAATACCATTTCGTGTTAAAGTATAAAGTTATTCCTTCAGGCTATCTGTAGGGTTTCAGTGTCAATGCTGTATACTGTAGTTAGTGTGTCAATGTAGCATTCAAACAAAAAAGTTGAATTATAATTTTTGTAATTTTGAATTTTTAATGTAAACATTAATTTTGCATTTTGGAGCCTTCCTCTTTGATATAAGATACAATGGTCTCTAGAGACTGTCACAGATCGAGTATACTTGGGATCAAAGCTGGTACTTCTTACCTCAATAATACTCATCATCAAACAGAAAATGTATTTATACAGACGACTATGATGGAAAATGAACCAGCACACATAAAAATAATTTAATTTTCATCTCTGATGGACCCAGAATATTTTCAAGATAAGGCTTAGTATGTGACCTAGTCAGAGGAGATCATGTCTGTATCAATCAGAGATTTGTGCATCTTCATACTCTGCATGTCATGCGTTCCTTTGAGTTGAAAAAAAGAGTGAGTGAGTTGGGTTTTACGCCACGTTGAACAGTATTTCAGTTATATCACGGCATGTCCTTTTTATGTGGGAGGAAAGCTCAAAGTGATGCAGGTCTCAGAGGTTTACCACTGAGGGACATGGGTATGGTGCTGACATCCCGACAATTACTGTTAGGAATGTCAACATACATCTCAAAAGAAGTTAAAGAACACAAGATTCTTTCATAGGATTATATACACCCGTGAAGATCTGGGTTATAATAGGTGTTCAGCAAACCATGCTTGCCTTAAATGGCCACCATGCTTGTCATAAGAGGCGACTAGGGGGACCTGGTGGTAAGGTTCGCTGACTTGGTTGATGCATGTCATCGTATCCCAACTGCATAGATCGATGCTCAAGAAGTCAATGACTGGATTGTCTGGTCCAGACTCGATTACTTACAGACCACCGTCATTTCGCCGGAATATTGCTGAGTGCAGCGTCAGGAAATTTGTTAATACAGACAATTTCATCAGTCAAAAACAGTAAAGCCCCAGCTGACAGAGTTTCGCTGTATGAGATGTTGTTGTGTATTTCCAGATGACGATGGGGCCTACTACTGGCATATCAAGAGTGGAACCATTCAGCGTGACCCACCTTCACCTTTGACCCCAGAGCAAACAACACTGAGATCCATCTCCATTGCAAGTGAATCGGTAAGTAGGGAGTTCGGCAACCTGTTACATTTTTATATTCCTTCATTGAAAAGATTGATTTGCAGCAAATTTGGTTAGGTTACATGATTTCAATGTCCTTTGGAGCTACATGGTTTTGTCTTGTCATGTATGTGAGTGCTGTTGAAAATGCTATTTAAATATCCAAGATGATGTTGAAAATACTTGAGAATGTGATGAATATTGATGAGCTAAGTCAGTCTGCACTATGCAGTTGAAATGTATAGTTTGATAAATCATTCAAAATCTGTGGATCACCCCAAACACATGAGTGACTGATGAATATTTGTCAACCCTAGACCCTCCCGAAGTTTTGCTGTTCTGGTGTTGAGTGACATATACTACTCCACTTTTCATAGAGATATGTTTCTATTAACAGGATACACAATCCAAAGTTGAGTGACATGATAATATAAAAGTACAGTCGAACCTTATTGTGTTGAATTCATGGAAACCTGGAAAAAAGTTTGTGTGATACAAGTTTTGAGACAACCATCAAAGTGAATTCCTGAAAACCAAAGATCATGAGAGATTATTACATGTAGTCAAGTCTTGGTTTCATACTTTGATAATAGATAATAACAGACATGAGTAATAGATCCATTAATACAATCTTAATCCATACTGTGTTAGAGTCATCTGGGAAATATTATTCTTAATTTGGATGCTTGGGACTCCCAAATGAGTTTGAGACAACTGGGAATTCGACACATCCAGTTGACAGATTTGAGTATCAATGATGAAAAATATAGAAGATACTTGCAGGGACTGGATATCCCCCCCCCCCCTCCCTGCCCCAACTCACAACCCCTCATAACACATAGTCCCTGAAAACTCACAACCCCCACTTCATTCAGTCATCGTTACCAGCCCTGTTAAGTTTGGCCAGAATTTGACCGCTGCCGCCACTGCTGGAATTTGACCGCTGCCGCCATGCACTGCCAGTAATATAGGCTTGGGCAAAATATCAGCCCCTGCAAGTTTGATTCCCGTTATTCCAACCTATGTTATGTGAATATCAACACAAATTTTATGATGTTTATCAATCTTTCAGTTAATAATTATCCGCGTGTAAGAATTTGGTCCACAGAAACCTATGTTAGTTGTTGGTAGCGTTGAGGAGCTTAAAGTACAGGACAGATAACATGAAATACGGTGTCTGAAACTGATGTTCTTAAGTATCACTCTCACTTTGATTAATGAGAAAAAAAGATGCCTTCTTAGATTCTGTAGACAAGACAAATCCAAACACAGAAGGATTCCAAGATAAAACGCAACCCGTCGTAAGGGTCTGCTCTTGCCGAAAATAACCTTCGCTGCTGAATTACACAATGCTGTCTCGGAACAGTGCTGTTTTGGTTTAACAGCAGCACCTTGTTTGAAATATTTGTCAGATAAAAACTTTTTCTCTCAGCCGATGGGGTAATGGCCGTTGCGGAGATGTTTATGGAACAGTATTTTGTTGATAATAGCTGCAGCACGACATGGGTAAAATTAGGACTGTTGCTCAGAACGGCAATTTATCGTCACCATTTTCAAGCCAGGGGTGTAATAACAGATTGATTTTGTACTTGATGCAGGGAAATTTTTCAGCCTTTTGCCTGGTAATGAGGCTCAATGTGTGCAATTAAAGTTTTTTTGACAAAGAGTTTTCAAGAAGCTTTCTCAGATGTGAAATATCTTTCCGACTTTTTGTTTTGAATACAAACATTGCTGTTTTAATTGCCAAATTTCAAAGTTTGTTCTTAACTTCAGATATCAATTCATCATGCTCAATCCATCATTTAATTTGTCGTTACCACTCTCGACTAGAGCCAGTTTTATTTGTTATAATTGTTCGTTTGAAGGAATTACTTGTTTGCAGGCTTTTGGTCGACAGGAATATTCGTAGAAATGCTTTGAACAATTGTTGGCTTCTTCTACAGAATTGTTGGCAACAAGTTTGTAATTAAGTTTCCACATTGCTAGTTTAAGCCACAGTCTTTGAATGCCTGAGGGTACTATATTGTCTGAACAAAAAATAAATAAATCTGGAAATTTGATTCCTGATACCATATTTGTTTTTAGGTTTCAATCTTGATTTTGCTCTTTCTTTTGTAATCAAGGTTGGATTTTCGGTCTAAGTCCTGTCAGTGTGCATGTCAGTGATTTTAGATTGGAAATGTAGGAGAAGAATACCCTTTAGCTGTATTGGCATCGTTCTGGTGTGGACATTGTTGCAGAGTGGGTTAACCCTTGTGTGTTGGATTGATAAAGTTATTAATAAATGGTTCATTCCCTAATTTTTCTCTCAGTACCTTTTTATCATGCTTTTGAAAAAGAGTGATGCCTAAGAATGTTCTGTTCCTATTCCTATGTTATGTGGAGTTCTCTCCTTAATTTCCCTATCTCTTTCCATCCCCACCCCCCAACCCCAACCCCTCTCTTAAGGTTCATACAGGCTTGAAAAGGCCTTGAATTTGAAGGTCCCTTTGTAAAAGCCTTGATTTCAGGTGTCAACCTTGGAAAGCCTTGAAAAACACCTTGAATTTGTAATTTGTTCAAAATGACAAATAATTGTTTTTAATAATAGTTATGTAGCAAGGATGTTTAAGCGTGATTTATCACAGTGATAGATTTGTGCCAAAGATTATGAAGAATTCATGACATGAATTTATATTATAATTATATTATTTGTTGATAGATCTTGTTGATAGATCTTGTTGGAAAATCTGTGAGGTCCGTACTGCATTAATAGGTCTTACAACTAATACGTAGTGTGCTGGATGTAAAAACAAATATTCACAAACAAAGCTAATAACCCAACTAGAAAAGCCATGAATATGACAGCTGAAAGCCTTGCAAAACCTGGAAAAGAACTTGAATGTCAGTGTTCCATATCTGTGTTCTCCCTCTTTCTCCCTCTTTTTCTCTTCCCTCTTCCTACTTTATTTTCCCCTCATTTTCACCACTCTCTCTTTTCTCTCCACCTCCCACTGCCACTCCAAACACTGACATCAACACCATCACCATTAAACACACATTCCATGTAGCCATATCTCAAAGGCTTTGTTGTGTTAACACCTTCAGCATTGACGGTAGTCCTCTCTATACATGCACATTGCCTCTGCCATCCCAACACAGCCTCAATGGCAGTGACAGGCCCCAAAACTGGCCTCATCACCAGACAAGGTTATGTTGGCCAAGATAAAAAGCTGTTGAGCAGAATCAATTCTCCCCTAGTAATCTCATGGCCTGTATTCTAACCATGAAGCTCAAACATCAATGCCTGCACCCTCTCAGTGCCACGCTAATCATTCAATGCGTCCAACCTTCTCCAGTAATCACCCTTCGTTATAACTAGCATCTGACACACTGACTCCTACCCAGCCTGAATATTGCCGCAATTTGTCCGAGCAAAATCAAAATTTAAAGGATCTTTTGCTAGAGTTGACATACGGCAAACGAGGAAATGATGGTGCATAGACATAGAAGATTAACGGCTAAGCCTGTCAGTGTGTACGCAGATGCAGAGAATAATTGAATGTTTGTTCTCAATGGGGGAAAAAAGGCCATATTTTTCTGAATTTGAAACATTTCCTTTTCCGTGCTGTCCAGAACAAAAGAGTTTTTTATTGAAGTCTGTCAGATTATTGAAATGGCCTTGTTAGGGTTGCACCTGAAATAGCCTCAAATAGATATTTCTTGCCAAAACAGCCTTCTCTCAGACTTTTTGGCTCCAGAGGTAGTTATATCTCATATTTTCTGCTGAAATATTTTGTCCACTAGGTGTATCAATCATTGTTTGGGGAATATTTTCAATATGCAATTTGTTGTCTGAGGCGCTTTCAGTTTGGAGTTCACAGTTTCAGAAATATGAATCTATTACATCCATGGTCTTCAACCAGGATACTGTCAGTTTTTAGAAGATCAACTTCAAAGCAATATATAAATATGCTATGGGAGTAGCTGCTACGAAGGAATTTTCGTAGATCATTTCCTCAAGAGAATCATCATCAATATTCATTAAATAATGGACAACTACAGTAATCATGATTGAACTGCATAGTCTATGGTTATATTGGTGCTGTTATAATTTTGTTTAAGATGATGGAGTTGTGACTTTTTGTAATTATTAAAAAATGAGTTTGAGGTATGAATGGAGTAATTTCAGGTTTTCTGAATAAGAAAAGGTGGTTAAGACTTGGGTACTGAATTGTTTGAACCGAGAACCCTGTCCATGGTGAAGATGTTTTCATTAATGTATGGAAGGGAAGGCTGAGAAACAGATGCTGCCTGTGTGTGTCTTTCAGGGTCTTTGATTGTTGATACCACTGTCACTTTGATGTATAACTGCCAAACCATTCCCATGTTCATACACTCACATACACTCACACACACTCGCACAGTCACATAAACTAACGCAGTCACATAAACTCACATACACTCACACACACTCACACAGTCACATACACTCACACAGAGTCACATAACCTCACGCAGTCACATACACTCACACACACTCGCACAGTCACATAAACTAACGCAGTCACATAAACTCATGCAGTCACATAAACTCACGCAGTCACATACACTCACATACACTCACACACACTCGCACAGTCACATAAACTAACACAGTCACATAAACTCACATACACTCACACAGTCACACAAACTCACAGTTACATAAACTCACACACGCTCACACACACTCACACAGAGTCCCATAAACTAACGCAGTCACATACACTCACACAGTCACACAAACTCACATACGCTCACATACACTCGCACACTCACACGGAGTCACATAAACTCACAGTAACATAATCTCACATATCCTCACACAGTCACATTAACTCACATACACTCACACAGTCACATAAACTCACATACACTCACACAGAGTCACATAAACTCACATACACTCACACGGGGTCACATTAACTCACATACACTCACACAGTCACATAAACTCACATACACTCACACAGAGTCACATAAACTCACATACACTCACACGGGGTCACATTAATTCACATACGCTCACACGGAGTCACATAAACTCACATACGCTCACACGGAGTCACATAAACTCACATACGCTCACATCGAGTTTAAAACACCCTCGGTTACCATGGGAGTTCTGTTTCAGAGCACTCTGGAAACAAGCAGCTCCAACCCCTTTATGCACTCACATACACTCACATACACTCACATACACTCACATAGACCCATACTTGTCGTAACAGGCGACTATGCTTGTCGGAAGAAGCGACTAACGGGATTGGGAGGTCAGGCTCGCTGACTTGATTGATGCATGTCATAGTATCCCAATGGTGTTGACTGATGCTTATGATGTCGATCACTTAGTGTCTGGTCCAGACACGATTATTCACAGACTGCCGTCATATAGCTGGAATATTGCTGAGTGTGGCGTTAAACAATAAATAAACAAACAAACATACACTCACATCAAGTCACACATCATCACATACTCACATACACTCACATCAAGTCACACATCATCACATACTCACATACACTCACATCAAGTCACACATCCTCACATACACTCACATCAAGTCACACATCACAAGTCACATACACTTGGAGTCACGCGGTGGTTCTGTTTCAGAGCACTCTGGGAACCAGCAGCTCCATCCCCTCCACCCCTACCAGCATCACCTCCAACACTGAGGAGCACCTGCAGGAGTTTGAGGGCCACGCCTTGCAGTACGCCGCCAAGTCCCTGCAGTCTCTGTGAGTACAGCTATGTTGCTACATTGGCCCTAACATGACCATGGCATTGTTAAGTGTAGAATTCGTCCAAATACTCTTGCTGGTCAAAAGATCAAGTATTTGAAGCAGGGGTCCGGAAAATTTAAAATCCCAATCGGACATTTGCATTTAGGCCACGCCCCCTTCAAATAGCGTATTTTAGTACAACTTTTCACACACATTACAAGTTTACGTATTCATAATATGATGAATTATGAATTGTTTCAATTTAAATTGTTTAATTCACCGGACAATTAATAACAAATAATATTATTTTAGATTTACATGGAAAACATCCGTTTGTTTCTGTTATAATAACGATCTGTTAACGTAGTGAATGGTCTAATTAATATTCATGAGTTATATTCATGAGTCTGCTCAAGTGTACGCGTTGTAACATTTGGATCGAGACTATTATCCCATATTTGGTTATCACGTGACCTCATGGGAAAAGGTTTTTTTTAAACTAAAGATTTTTTTAAAAACAAGACAGATAATTTAATCACAAATACTAAAATATCGTTGATAGCAATAGTTATTTGAATACTTTTTTCATCTGTACTTAATTATTGACCATAAAAAAATTGGATATCGATCGTCCGAGAAAGCAAAATGGCGGTCAATCAAGATTCAATATACGACTAGCTACTGAAAACAATAAAATCTGCAAATCCTCATTGTATGTCAACCAAGTGAAAGTCGTTAGCCACGACTTACAAAATGATCGTCCAGACTTTGAGGGTTTGGCAGATCCGGTCGACTGGCTGTCGTCACGCTTTCGCTTCTTGTCTGAGGTTTCGTATCGTAGCATTGTGAGGATAATGAGGTACATCGATGATGCAAGGTATTAATGTACAGTTGTAAACACCTTTCACTCAAATTAACAAGATGTTCTCAGTAATTAATCCTCGATTAATCAGTGTCAACTCAGTTTATTGCCTATTACAGTGATTGACCGATTGGACTATCATGTAGGTACGATGTATTTACAGCAATCAAAACAAACAAAGCTTGTCAGTGTAGTTAATCTTCATTGTGTTCCAACTGCAGACAGAAACTGCTCAGTCCTAACTGTTGATCATGTCCGGTCAAAATTTAAGAATGTCCGGACAATACTTTTTAAAATGTCCGGTAAGCAATATTTTAAAACGGACATTTGAGATTCCCAATCGGACATGTCCGGCGCATATGACGGTTTTCGGACCCCTGATTTGAAGATTGAGATACTATCCTGCATGGATCGGTGGTGTTCGTGGACTGCTGACTGTAAGATCATACCCCATGCAGTTGCATGGATGAAAACTCACGCCACAGGACTCTGATCTGTATGCTCCATGTCAAAATTACACATCGCACTCAGTGATGGCATAAAGCCCTCCATTTACTCCTCCAAGTACTGTCACATGGTTATAGGTACATGTATATGTGAACTTGTTTGACTTTCTAAGTTAATAATACCAAGTTAAACATGAAGTGTCAGAAAGATACGAGTGTGTGTCCCAACTTTGCCCATTTGCTGATATGTTTTGAGCCTTTGTTAGCACAGCTCTGCAAACAGCTGCTGTAGTTGTCAAGCAGCACATTAGATCTAACTGAAGAAACATTATGTTGGGCTTTCCACCCGTGTAAATTCAGAATAAATAATAAAGTTCATCTTCTGGATTTACGACTCGACTAACATATATTCTACTCAAGAAACCAAAGAAATGGTTCCTGTCCCGAGCGTGACAGAGACCTTTGTCGATGAAACTGCAGTAAAGAATGAAGAATATGTGCCCCACATGTCTTCCTGGGGGATTTGTTCTCAAAATCCCAAATTTGAAAGCCTAATCCAGACTTGAAGTTTTTATGCACTCAATCCAAGAAAAACTAAAGTATTTTGGACAGGTTCAAATTGTGGGCAATAAGGAGTCTCAATGGAGGAAAGTCCATGACTGACAGGAATACAACACTTGAAGGTCTTGGCTTCCTTGATCGAAGATCCCCCAATGAAACGACCAACAGTGCCCTTATCAGAATGCCTTTCAGGAATCTGTTTTTTAAGTCACAGGGAAAAAAGCGACATCTTAATTTGATAAGGATCTTTCATTTCCTTCAAGGAGCATTTGCAGTCCATGACAGTTCCGAGAATGGTCAACGCTCAATACTTTATAAATGAAATCCGATTTTTATTCTACCTCTCGTGTTAGAGAGTTGACTCCGACACCAAATACGAGTATGCAAATGAGTTGGGTCGGGGATATCTCCCATTTATTTCTAATTACTGTGTCTGGTCGTGTCAATTAGGATATTGATTAATGTTTTGACAGGTGCTCCCCTCTGGAGAGGAAAGAAGGTCTGCCTGATGAACTCGAAGAGAAACCGATCCGATTTGCGGTGAGGTCATTAGGTTGGGTGGGAATTGCAGAAGAAGACCTGACTCCAGAAAGAAGCAGCAAGGCTGTCAACAAATGTATTGTTGATCTCTCCCTCGGGAGAAACGATATTAACGATGTTGTTGGAAGATGGGGAGATGTGAGTGTAATTTAGAAACCTGACACCAAAAATGAAATATTTCGCTGATTCCCAGAGCACAACATTTACATTCATCAACCCTGAAGTGACTAATGTGATAAGGATTCATCCATTATAAACTTATCATACTTGCAACTGATACAAACAGTTTGAAGATGAATCATCCAGAAAGAATAAATATGTTTTTGACGATGGAATGATAGTGTTGTTCTATGGGAGTTGCGCCAAGCATTGCATTACCTACTTTTTTTTTTAAGAGAGAGTTCTTCCATGTAGTTGTTATGTTACTGTTTGGAACCAAACATTGGAAAATCCACTTTATAAAAATGTTGCAGCTTTAGAAATAAAGAGGAAAGCTTTGAAACCCTAGACCTGTGAAGATCCGGGGTAGAACAGGTCTTCAGAAACCCATGCTTGCCTTAAAAGGTGACAGTGCTTATCGTAAGAGATGACTAATGGTATCGGGTGGTCAGGCTCGCTGACTTGGTTGGCGCACATCATTGATCCAAATAGCGTGGATCGATGCTCATGATATTAATCACTGGATTGTCTGGTCCAGACTCGATTATTTTACAGACCGCCGTCACATAGCTGGAATATTGCTGAGTGCGGCATTAAACAACAAACCAAGCAATTGAAACAATTTAGGCAAGCAGTCAAAAATGTTCACTAGATTCAGCACTTAAATTTTTGATTCAATGGAAAAGTGAATAATTTTATCTTTTAACAGCCATATAAAAAAATGAAGTGATTGGAATCACAAGTACAAGCATATGATTTTAAAGCTAAAAGCTAAAAACTAAACTATCCCAGAAATTATTGTCATTCAGAAGGTCAAATAAGTTTATGGAAGATTAAACTAGCAAGCTTAAGTCACTGTAAAAGACAGACCCTTGATCAAGGGTGCATGATGTCATTTTGGCCACTAGTCCAAGTCAGTTTGTCTAATGTTAAAAGTGTTCATGGTTTTTTTTCACTCTTCGGGGTCCTACAAGTTTCAGGTTAAGTTGCATACATGTAATATATAGGCATTGACAGTTAACATGGCCAACAGGGCAGTACAGTTTGACCCAATGGAAGCCTTGTTAACAGTTCAGGACCAAAATAAATTTCATATTTTACAAAAATCTGGGGGCAGGTGTGACATTTGTCTAACGAACCACAATGCACTGAGCATCCCTTGGGCACACCACAAACCTATTATCATGGGTTTGAAACTGAGTTCACGAGATTCATATCTAGGTTTGTCAGCGCCATACCCTTGTTCATTGCTTTCACCAATGTGGTAAACTCTGAGATTTGCATCACTATTTTGCTTTCCTTCCACATTAAGCTGACACTCTCTCAGGGGGCACGGGTGGCCCAGTCATCCAAGGCGCCGTGATTCGCTGTGCAGAGTTGCGTCCCTTGGGCATGCCAGAAACCTATGATTGTGGGTTCAAATCCCGGTTCGCCCCGATTATGTTTCTAGGTTTGTCAGCACCATACCCGTGTTCGTGGGTTTAAATGAAGTGGTAAACGTTTGAGACCTGCATCACTTCAGGCTTTCCTCCCACATTAAGCTGACACGCCGTGATATAACCGGAATAATGGTAAAAGCGGCGTTAAACCCAACTCACTCACTGAAACTCGCTCACTTACTTCATTAAAATCAACAATATTCTTCCACAAGAGTTGTATCAGTACTTTTAAAAAAATTCTCAAGGAACATCAATTTTTTTCTATGTTATTTCCTTCATACGAACAATGATTGGTCTGTGCCCTCTGGAGGCAGTTTTACCCCATGCTGTATGACTGTTAGGCCTGGTGATCTTATGCTGGCCTGGTGATCTTATGCTCAGTGTAACACTTTCATTTAACTGGAAATTCACAAACAGAAAAGCAGAATGTCAGTATCTTTCCCCCCTTTGTTTGATGTATAGCACTGGTACTATCGCTGGTCAGACTCCTGCACTAACATGGCATTATTTATCATCAGAAAATTGTGAGAAATAAATTATCACATCGTAAATTTGATGAAATGATGTTATTTTGATGGTTTGACAACACTATTGATCATCACTGGTGGGTGATACAATCCTGGCTGTAGAACAATCCCTTATCACTCCATTGCTTTATTATAGTCTTAAAACGCAGAATGACATTTAAACATTTTGGCATCGATTTCTCTTTGCCTTGGGGATTATTTATGTTTTCAGTAATTATGATGTACTTTCATGATGGTGTGTGCAGATAACTTTTGATATTTCTAACGCTCAAAGAATTTTAGAATCAAAAATGTTTTTTTTGTGTGTTCATTTTATAAAGACATTATTGATAAAATGGAGGTGATAATAACTTTGCATGACAGCAGAAGATTTTAATGCATTGAAAAGACCCTCAGATTTCAAACAATTTTGACAGATTTACAAATTTTCTCAGTTCCAAGATTTTACACTGGACAACTTTAAGCCAACCTGCCAGCTCGGAAAACCATGATCTAATCATGTCCAACATTTTAAGAACAAACACAAAATAATATGTTTCTTTGATGTTTGTAAAACTCCTCCTGTTTCTTCGCTTGTTTCTAACTCTGTGGCAGGATTTAGATCTGTAGCAGATTCACAGATGTTTTATCCTGAAATAAACCACACTTCATCATTCATTTCTTTGCCATTTATCACATAGGTATATTATATTTGTATATTCAAGGGCTTGTGATTTTTCAGAATGTTTTACATGCAAAGGAATATTTAAGGGGTTATGACATATATATGTTACGGCAAATAATGCATGTTTCAGGACTAATGGTGTATGTTTCAGGACTAATGGTGTATGTTTCAGGACTAATGGTGTATGTTTCAGGACTAATGGTGTATGTTTCAGGACTAATGGTGTATGTTTCAGGGCAAAGACCTGTTCATGGACTTGGACAGCACCAGCCTACGCCTATTGGACACCCAGGACTTCAGCCTCCTCAACTGTCAGCCTATCCACTCCATCCGAGTGTGGGGGGTCGGGCGGGATAATGGGAGGTAAGCCTCGGGATCAGTCTCCCACCAACATCACAACAAAGCACCTGTTCCTTATAGGGATGTAGCAACATAGTCGCATACTCTCTTCATATGTTATGCCAATTTATAAAGGAAGTATGGTGATACAGAATTGTTGAGATGGCATATTGATTATCCAAGGGTTGGTTGGTGAACCACAGCAGAAAATATTCTAACATTTGACATGGTCAATTTGCCAAGAAGCGACAAGAATTTTTATTTTATTTTGAAATTACCCCTATCTGAGCAATTCAATTAGAGTGGGGCCATATTAGAGATTAGTGGCTCACGCCTTTTGTTTGAATCTTATTTTTGTTATTGATCATAATTTTTGTCATAATGGCTACTCAGATAAGGCAGTATGTTATGCTGTTGTATTGACAAGTGGCCTGGGTCAATCAATGTCCATGCCCTGATTCCTTGATATTGATTGTCTAAAACGCTCAGTTTTGGCAAGCATTTGTTTATGATATTCATATCATTGGTTTGAGTCATATTGGACTGCCTCAGCGGTCTAGTGGTAGAGCATCTGCCCAGAGAGCTGAAGGTCCGGGGTTTGATCCCCGGCCACATCAAACCAAAAGATGTTAAAAGATCGTACTTGTTGTTACCTTGTCTGGCGCTCGGCATTTAGGGGCTAAAACAAGGACTCATGGTCAGCTTGGAGTCAGTATACTGTGTCTAGGTGGGGTATTCATGTTAAACTGCAGCATGGTATCTCAGTGGGCTAGCACTATAAATCGGCATCTGTCCAGACTAGTACAAGCAGCCAAACACACACCCCTGTACACGCACGTCGCTATATAAGTGCAATAATCTTGGACGCGACGTTAAACCCCATTTCACCTCAACTTGAGTCATGTTGTTATGATATAGTTGTACCTGAAATCAGTCCAATCACAGTAACAAGTCAATAGAAATCATTATCATTGTAAATCATTTGTAATTGCCATTGCTTTCATAATATCAGTTTATTCGGAAATAAGGCATCAGTGTAGAATTAAATGAACCCATGAGATATACTACTCAAAAGAGGTCTGGTGATGTCAGACTACTGTATGAAAAAATCTGGTGTTCTTTAACTTCCATTGAGTAGTATGTATCATTTGGGTGTATCACAATACTAAGCGCTTAAAAAATCACTATGTTGTTACGTCCCTTATTCTTGGAACAGGATTTATATTTCTTGTTGCTTTTAGAATATTTGTCAGATCTCCAATACTGGAAAGTGAGTCAACTTCAGTAGAGCCTCTGTTACCATTGCTCTCGCCATCTAAACATTAGTTTTCTGGTAAACAGTATTTCTCCCCGACAGATCCTACAATCAACAGGCATTAAATTTAATCAAACATCAATGCATTATGACTTGGAAATTATGTTTGAATATTTATTTACTTATGGATTAATTTGGAATGTGAAATTAATTTTGTATTAATCTATCGCTCGTTTTGTATGTAGATTAAAACTCTTTTAATTGATAAGAAATTTGAAAGATTATAGATTTTGTTTTTCTTGGGTCTCTAACATCTCTTTTGTCTCCTTTCTCCCTCATCTATCAGGGAAAGGTAACTCTTGATGTACTCCATGTTTGCGTAGTTCTTCAGTCTGGCCTGTCAGTCTTTCTGTCTGCGTTCATTTATTTTCTGATGAAATATGTTATTTGACTAATTGTATTATTCTCGCTGTAAATGAAATCTACATATATTCAGTTTAATCTGTTAATCTGAATTTTGTGTTTGATGAAATTTGTCTTTATGACAAGAATTCAGACGTTGTTAAAGTTATTCATTTGGGAAACAATATTTGTCATTATAATAAAAGTCATTTTACTGAAAAAAGTTTAAAGAATTGGATTAGATTTATTGATTTTTTGTTACTGTCTTCATACAGTGTCATTCAATTCATATTATTTGGTGTCAAGGTGGAAAATATGATTTGAAGGTGAAGATTATGTATCCGTTGAGTGTTTCTTTACATTCTGTTTGAGTACCTTCCTTCATGTGTTTATGTATCCATCACACACAGACATCTGCTTTGGTACCCTCTCACTTCATTCATGTGCAGCTCAAGGATGTGCTATTTGTTATTATGGAGCAGCAGGCAGTGGTGTAGCCTAGTGGTTAAAGCGTTCGCTCATCACACCAAAGGCCCAAGTTCGATTCCCAACATTGGTACAATACGTGAAGCCCATTTCTGGTGTTCACTGGAATATTGCTAAAACTGACTTAAAACTATACTCACTCGCTCCCTATCATAGAGCAGATCAGGGGTAGGCAACATTGGCGATGTTCAACAATCCGAGCTCATGTTTGACTTGTGGTTTTGTCAGCTAGCTAGATTTTGGGATAAAACGACCAGTCCGATTTGATTTATCCCTGCAGATAAATTCAACTGTTTATTATCATGATTATGATAAGGAGCAGATGAAGATGCTGAGTTGATGGACTGTTACTGGATTGGTGTCAACCAGGGAAGATCATTTCTTAATGATTATTTGGTTGATCGTGTATGTCATTGTCCAGGTATGTGGAACGATGCTCAGTTTATGGGCACTCTAGCAGCTGAGCCCCAGGGCTGACCATCTCCCAGCTATGACCTGACTGATGATATATGTCATTGTCCATTGGACCAATGCTCAGTTTATCTTGCTGCTGAGCTTGCATTGAACATTGATAGATGACCACCAGAGAAGACATCCTTCGGGACATGACCGTGGTAATCTGGCTGCCATTCTTCTACTATGTGTGGATCAGTGGTCAATCTCTGTCTCTGACCAGCAAGGAAGACCATCTATTGGCTATGACCTGACTAATCAAGTATGACATTGTCATGGCAGGTGGCTCATGATACATTTAGTGACCATTCTGTTACCTGGTGATGGAAACAATATGCATGGTTGACCACTGGGAAGAACCATCTCTACTGGCACGATCAAGTAGATTACTGTCCAGTAGTGCTCATTCTGTCGACCACTGGTTTGTGTGCTCCTAGCCTGATGACAGTTTGCTGTGGTATTTGTTAGATATTGATTATTATCAGTTGTTATGAATTTTATATATACTCTAGGACAGAGTATCTTTTTATTCCATCTCCCTGACTTTTCTGACTGTAAATTTTGATTGCACGTAAATACAAATCAGAAACAGATTAAATAAAACTGTAACACTTTGGGTTTTTTCAATATCCTTCTTTCAGTTGTTTTAATGTTCTACTGTTTTGGATTTCTAGAGATTTTGCGTATGTTGCGCGGGATAAGATGAGCCGCCGCCACATGTGCCACGTGTTCCGCTGCGACACCCCAGCGCGGCAGATCGCCAACACGCTGCGGGACATCTGCAAGAAGATCATGGTGGAGAGGACAGCTATGCAGAGACTCAGCAGGCCCACAGACCTGCCCAACTTGGAGAAGACCAACCAGCCAAATGGACAGAAGCTGTCCTTCCAGAGTCTTTATTCCAGTAGGGGTTTGCCTAGAATCCTGTTTTTTGACATAACCACCAACTGTTTGTCACTTTAGGTGATATTGTGATTGCTGACAATAGCTATTTGGTGTAATTGATTCTGAATTTGTCAATATTGACAATATTCTTTTGTTCCATTACCAATTTTGGAAAGAATCCCTTTTGTAAACAGGTATTGATTCAGTGACTTTCTCCAAGACAAATTGCACTGGGACATTTTCATAACATTCTTACATTTTGATTGGACTTTCTTTTGTTCGATTCAGTTTTATGAACCAATCAGAAAAGTGTTAACATTTTCAAGCAGTTTCACATTCAACTTTGTCATCCATCTGTTGAGGTATATATTATAGACAGGAAACAAATGGGGAATGAATTGTTTATTCTCAGAAATACTTCTGATCCTTTGCCTGACAGTTTGACCATCCATTGTTGCAGATGCATCGTTCCCCACCCCGATGGAGGAACCCAAAAAGAACATCCGGTGCCACTACCTTGGCCAGATGGAGGTTGGCAGAGCCACAGGTACCACGGATTCTACGAGACGTTAGTTTGATAGAATCCTACCATCTTTTTTCTTCTTTCAATATCATGATTGTTAGCTCAACAGAGATCAGCTGAGATGTTGTACTTGTCTGGAGCCCATTGTCCATCCTTCTGTCCTGAAATTTTCCATGGATGATACTTTCAGTTTTGATTAAATTATTCTGTTTCAAATTTCAAAATGGCTGCCTTTGTAGACATCTCTGTAAACAAAAGGCACATTTAGCTGAATCTTCACGTAATTGTCACCCGGAATGTACATACACCCAGAAGTTAAAGACAATCCCTTTTTGACCGACCCGTGAAGATTCCCGGGTAGAATAGGTCTTCAGCAACCCATGCTTGCCGTAAAAGGTGACTATGCTTGTCGTAAAAGGCGACTAACGGGATCGGGTGGTCAGGCTCACTGACTTGGTTGATGCATGTCATCAATCCCAATTGCGTGGATCAATGCTCATGATATTAATCACTGGATTGTCTGCTCCAGACTCGATTATTTACAGACCGCCGTCATATAGCTGGAATATTGCTGAGTGCAGTGTTAAACAACAAACCAAACCAAACCCTTTTTGACCATTGAGTGTGTAGGCTTGGACAAGCAAATATGAGGCTGAGGCTTTGCAAATCTCTGGTGGGGATTCCTTGTTAGAATATGTGTTCCCAGCTATGTATGCTTGTTATCAGTTTGGAATGGTCTTCAGCAACCCATGCTTGTCGTAAGAGGCGAATAACGAGATTGGGTGGTCAGGCTCTTTAACTTGATGTCATCTTATCCCACTTGTGTAGATCAATGCTCATGGTGTCAAGCATGGGATTGTCTGGTCCAGACTTGATAATTTACAGACCGCCGCCATATAGCTGTAATACTGCTGAAGGCTGCATCAAGCAACAAGCAAACCTATGCTTGTTGTACGAAGGGACGAAGAGGATGAGGTGGACACATTTAGTGATTTGGTTTCCATGTATTCGTACCCTGATGGCATGGGACATTGCTCATTACATCAATTACTGGCCATGTTATGTCTGGTGTGGACTAGACTATATACAGGTGTCGTCACAGAGCTGGAATATTGCTGTGTGGTGTAAAACAACAAACATAGCACACAGCAATGTCCCCAATGGTATCTCAGATATATTATTATTATTAATATTGTTATGATTCACTTTTCTATAAGGTACTGGTTATACACATCATATAAGAATCCAGACATTGATAAATATTTTGTTCATTATGTGGCATTTTCAGCATTAATCGTAAATTGATGTATCATAGTATCTGGATAACATTGAAAATACAGTAGCATGGTTACTGACTTGAAATGTATACTTACATGTATCTATTGCGTGCTTGCGTAACACAAAGGGGAAACTAAAAAATGTTCCTAATTTTGCAGGTATGGACACCTTGAATGAAGCGATAGAGCGAGCTTACCGCAAGGTGCCCCCTGAGCGATGGCTGTTTGTCAATGTTGCTATAGCACCCTCAACACTCACCATCTCGGAACATGGGGTATGTACAAAAGTTGGACTGACTGCAGTCTTCACATTTATACTTACCAAATAAATTATTTTAAGAATTATTTTTAAGAATCTGATAGTGGCTAGAAAATGACATCTTCCTTTATGTGTGAAAAATGTGTTTCCATGGTTACCTTGACATCATATGCAAACCCCTGTGTCTGTTTCACAGATGACATACTTCAGCCCTTTTGCAATATCACTAGTGTTGTATGCATGTACAGGTTGTGGATGAGATTGTGCGTCCAGCATGCACAAATGTATAGAATGGACGCAGAAAAAAAGAAAATTGCTTCCCAAGGGAAGCACAATAATATTTATTGAACCAAGACAAGTAATTTAAAGGTCTTGTAATTCAAGTTATCATACAACAACATTTCATTACTTTGCAGGGCCCCGTTCCACAAAGCCATCTTAGCGCTAAGGTGATCGTAACTCCCATACTTTAACACTGGCTTACGCTAGTCGTAGCGCTAAGATCGCTTTGTGGAACGGTGCTCAGGACTGTTATATTTCCTGTAAGGACCCCTGAAATTATTTGCTGGGCTCTCTGAACCCCGAGTTGTGTAAAACCCTGTGATAATGAGTGTTGTTGGTGATGATATGATCATATGTTGTATGTTAACAAGAGAAACATTTTGTTTTCAGAGACCCGAGAATAAGATTGATGAATGTCGTGTCCGCTTCCTATCCTTCATGGGTATTGCTATGAACAACGTCAAGTGAGTGACTCTTGGTACAATCCTGACACTTTTTGTATTGATTTGCTGTTTTAATCTCATTCTTGCCACTTTTAATGAACAAGGCTACAGAGCTACGTATAATGCTGCTTTAAGATTTTTGACAGATAAGACATTAGAAGAGCAGTGTCTGAAACATGCAATTACTTATTGAGGACACCATTCGCCGAATCGATCTCAGCGCTAAGCTAAGTCCACACATACACATAAACTTACCGGTACAACAGTCGTAGTGCTAAAGTCACTAAAGCCCAGGAATTAACCATCTGATTCTTAGTCGGATTTGCTGAAAAGGCTTGCATTCCTTACACATGTCATCGACATCTTTAATCATGGATTAGAATCCCAGATTCTTCCTGATTCTGTTTCTGGGTTTGTCAGCACCATATCCCGTGCTAGTGGGTTTCACCAAAGTGGTACACGTATAAGACCTGCATCACTTCGGACTTTCCTTCCACATGAAGCTTACATAATTATTTTTTTTATCATCATGGGACTGCAATGACGCCTTGAAGATCCGGGTCAGAATAGGTCTTCAGCAACCCATACTTGCCGTAAAAGGCAAATATGCTTGTCGCAAGAGGCGACTAACCGGATCAGGTGGTCAGGCTCACTGACTTGGTTGATGCATGTCATCATCTCAATTACGTGGATTGATGCTCATGATGTCAATCACTGGATTGTCTGGTCCAGACTCAATTATTTACAGACCATCGTCATATAGCTGGAATATTGCCGAGTGTGATGTTAAACAACAAACAAACCAAACAACAAAAAACTTTTGATACTAGGTGAAACCAAACTCACTCACTCACTCACTCACTCACTCACTCACTCACTCACTCACTCACTCACTCAATAGTCAAATAGTATATACAGTAAAGATGTACAATAAAAACAAATATTCTTTGCTTGAGATACCAGCATGATAAAGTTTCTCTGTAAGGCTTAAAAAAGAAAAGAATTGGTTCTCAGGCAATGGATTTTGAAAATATAGTGTGGGCAGAGGGCAGTTTTTTCCCTTTTTTCGGTTGTACAAACTAGTATGTAACCAAATAAACAGCTGTGTACAATCAACCTGGGTAAGGGCCTCCCTACATTAATATATTCTTTGATAAGTAAAATAGTGGAATACAGTATTTGACTACCGTTGGGCTACCGTTGGACTATCAGTGTGTGCATAATGCACGCATACAATAAGCTTTGATTTTGTTTTGCAATGCAAAAACATTGACAGCTGATTGCTATTTCCGGCTTATTTTACGTGACAAATACACATGTAATCTTAATCTCTGCGTATGAAACCATGTCTGGCATAAAACACACAAATACCAATGAATTTGTACATCATCACGTCTAGTGATGTTTTATTGTAAATTTCATTGACCAAATTTGCAAACAGCAAAACAAGCACACAAACTCCTATTGCCGCCACGACCAGGACACATAACATGAGATGCGCAGTAAAGCAATGCAAATGTAAAGGAAGTAACTGCACGCTATATTGGATCGCATTGTTTTTAAGTTTTGTAGGATTTTGTTCGAGACGCGGAATATTTAAGGATTTTTTTATAAAAAAAAATTAAATAAAAATAAAAATAAAAACAAAACATCCTTCGGACTTTGTAATGATGCAGCGGTGCCTGAGAAGCAAGATTATTATTTTTTAGCCTAAAACAAACACAAATATCCTGTATAAGTAAATGGTCTAACTTGTGCTTTGTTTCACCAGATTGTGTGCGTTCATTATGCACAATGCGCAGGATGACTTCTACGCCCATGTATTCCACTGTGAGCCCTCAGCTGGCCCTCTTTGTAAAACCATTGAAGCTGCTTGCAAGGTGAGATCATTGGGCAACATGATTAGTGAGAAGACAAGCTGCTGCTTGAAGGCCTTTACATGTGAAACTATCTCTTTCTAAAAATATGTGAGTGTAATAGAGGCTGCCTACCCCTTTTGATATGCAGCATTTGGGGATCTATTCAGTGGGTATTCAGGTCTCAGCAGTGTTGTATGCATGATGCAAATGACATTGTTTGGGTACTCGGGTAGCCTAGTGGTTAAAGCGTTTGCTCGTCACGACGAAAACCCGGGTTTGAATCCCAACATGGGTACAATGTGTGAAGCCCATTTCTGGTGTCCCCCGCCGTGATATTGCTGGAATATTGCTAAAAGTGGTGTAAAACCAAACTCACTCACTCACTCACTCTTTAAAAAACTAATGATGTATGTGAACATTTCCTTTCTATTTTTTTACGTTTTCTAAAACAAATTAAGTACTTTAACTTCTTCAAATCCCACCCTTTATGATCTTGGAATGTGTTCTGTAGGTTTTCGTCTTTGATCGACTTTCTGCCAGTTTGTAGAGTGAATTCTGACATGTGCTTTTAAAATATGGTATAAGTAGTACATTGTAGTAGGAATTCAGGGGTGAGAAGGAGGTGGGGGGGGGGCACTCATATAACGTCAGTTAGCACTGTCAGGAACTTGTCCCAGAGGTTCCTGATATTTGCAGTAATGAAATGAAGTTAACTATGTAAGATATGTGGCTCCTATTTTCGCAGCTCCGTTACCAGAAGTGTCTGGATGCACATCCGCAGACACCAAAGACGCCATCACAGGGAGGAAAGGTAAGGGAGAGAACTCTCATTGCTCTTTGACATTATCAATATGGTACCCGGGGACTAGATAATGTCATGAGTGAAGTCGCAAATACAGAAACACGGTGTATGCTTTGTACACATAGAAATATGGAATTGATTTGGTACTTCAACTGCTTGTTGTCAGTATCTCAAGATATTGTGATACAAAACTTCTTTAATCATTCTGATGTCATGCCTCTTGCTTTCAAATTACATATTCCTTCTAAACAATGACATTTCCTGGACTCTAATGCTTCATTGAATTCTTCATTCTTCTGGCTCTACAGATGCATGTTGCATAGTTTCAGGAATTATTGTTTTTTCTTATTTATTCATTTATTTATGTTTGAGTTTGTTACTGTAATCACATCTGTAAGAAAAATAGAATTTGTTTGAAAATACCAACACAAATATGTAGGAAAGTTTCATGTTTCAATGTTTATATTGTCAGATTAAGATACCATAAATAAATTTACATACACATATGTCTGTTCTTGTAAAATGTATGATTTAGAATAACAACTTTAATTAATTCATATGTGTTTAGAGTATATATGTAATTATATTCTAGCTATCATACGTACACAATAGTGTTTTGAGATTATATTGGAGTTAACGTAACATTTGAAACATCAGTCAGATACAGTTGTGTATAGCATAAAATTGTGGAGAATAAAATAGGAATGTTGGTCCTTTTCAAAGATTCTATTTTCATAAATGTGTTTCCTATCTTTTCATGTCATATGGTATCAGTTCCTTTTTGGTGTTTAACTGTTTTTGTCATTCCCTATGGTTCTATTTAGCTTCACTTTGACACAAATCTACTGTCATCTTATAGGAAACATATATTGTGTACTTTCTACAGAGTATTTATTCATCATGCCTTACATGATAGTCATGGGATGAGAATTTTCAGCGGAATCACAGATTTTCGATAAGTCAAGGACCAGTTTTGTGCTACATGTCATTATGTATTATATACCATATGCCACTTTGCCCCAATATAAGCATACATCCTAAAGTCCCCAGATGCCAAGCTAGCTTTCAGAGTGTGTATTCATCTCTGGATAGTAACCAGGTACTGGTGTGCATCCTCTACTCCTGGCATGCATCATATCAATACCATATGTCATAAGTTGATATAGTTATGCATACTGAGATTATATATTCTTGTAAATAATGGTATATGATTAAGTCACACGCACATGGATTATGATTGGACATTTTAAATCTCTTACCTTAAAAAAACGTTAACATTAATTGTCTTAAATTATTGACATAAATACCCTGATATAATGAACTTTTAACATTAATTCTCTTTGACATAAATATCCCAGTACAATGTCAGTGTGTTTGTAGAGTTGTCAAAAGGGGAACAGATGGTTCCCTGATTGTATGACCTGTGGTGTAGTTGTTGTACAGTGACACTGTCAATCTCAAGACTTAAGTCATAAAGGAAGTACCGGGTAGGCATCCTCCACTGACAACCACAAGAAGTATACCTTTGCTGACGCCTATACGTTTGCCTTCTTAACTCATAAAGGTTAACAATGTTAGCTCCCTAAGTACTGCTGGAGTGTGTGTCCAGTGGATGTAGTGGATACCAGTTGTCAAATATCTAAAGTAGCTGGGGGCCAGGTGACCCAGTCATCTAAGGCCACGCGATGTGCTGTGCAGAGTTGCGTCTCTTGGGCACGCCAGAAACCTATGATTGTGGGTTCGAATCCCTGTTCGCCCTGATTATGTTTCTAGGTTTGTCAGCACCATACCCGTGCTCGTGGGTTTCACCGAAGTGGTAAACATCCGAGACCTGCATCACTTCGGGCTTTCCTCCCACATTAAGCTGACACGCCGTGATATAACTGGAATATTGTTCAGGTCGGCGTTAAACCCAACTCACTCTCTCAAAGTAGCTGATGTCCACAGCATCCGTTCCATGGACCTTTGACACAGTACCAGTGTGTCACATTGGTACATTTATCACAGAAAAAAATGTCCTTGTTGAAGTTCTGGTGACTACTTGAAACATGAAACTATAAGAACACCATTTGAATGATGTTATATTCAGTCTGTGGCCTTAACCTTTAGCTCAGATACCAGTTCCGTGCCTAAATTCAGACTTCAACGTTAGTCCAGCAGTTGAAGACAAGTAGAATTCAGAGAGGACTTGTGATTTCCTGTTGGACTACGACTTTTACTGCTAGGTACATGTCAACTCTGAAACAGACTTTGATGCTAAATTTTATTTTGTAATTAATTTTGTTAATTTTTAAGCCTGCATTTGTAATCTAGGTTCTTGATGACCCCTCTGCAGAAGGGTAGAATCTGCTGAAACTAAGATTAAAGATTACATTTGGGGTTATGGAAGGAACTGGCCACAGACTGTATATATTAGGTCCCCCAACCAGGTAGAGTTCTTTGATTTGCTTGTTGTTTTACGTTCTTTTGTTCTCCCAGGGACTAGGGGCAACCTTAAAGGCTGGAGTTAAGGCCAGTGTGACAAGTGTTCAAAATGTCATCGGAATTCTTAAAAGCAAGCGAGCAGGACAGTGCTGAGGTTGTTGTCTAGGTAACAGTCGGAAAAACAGACTGTATTGTCTGTCATTTGGCTTCCTTTTGCAGCTATCAGTGGGCGTTGAAGGCTTTGAGTGAAAAGTATATTCATGAAGTGTTGTGGCAATAAGTTGCTTTTTGCTAATGTGCATGCATTTGTAAGCCTATTTGCATAGACATCCAGCTGACTTAATGTGTTCATGTGTGACTTAATGTGTTCATGTGTGACTTAATGTGTACATATATATATGTGAGCAATCAGAAGTGCTGAACAGATTAATATTTGCTGATGTAGACAATCATATATCATAGTTTGTTTAGAAACTAAAAGATAACTATATGCATGATCATTATTGACTATGAGTATTCTGAAGTTGCTTTGTTCTGTGAATTATTTATGAAACAATCCTGCTAAATAATATGCATTATTTATCAAATGTTGAATTCTGAATTCTGAATTGATCACATCAAATTATGCATTCGATGTGAAATTTTCAAATTTGATTAATTTGTCCTTTATAGAAAGTCTGTTCAGTTCTTCTAACCTATATGTTTGCATCAACTGTTTTCTGGCTTCTCTTCACGGCTTTGTGTGAATGTATTGTGCCATGTTGTACCCACTCACTGCCAGCTGCAAAATGAAGCTAACTTCCTTCCATGTAAGCTTCTATCACTGGAATGCTGGGTGCCTGCAGAGTTACTGACCTTTACATAGGTTATCTCCCTTTGTATGCTTACCTCATTCTTCAGACCCATATATATCATGTGGAAAAACCCATCTCAGTTGGAGGACACTGACTGTTTGAAGTTCTTTAAGCATGTGTATTATTATGTATATGCATATATATATTTTGTATTTGTAGCTTTTAAGTGTAAGGCTGTTCTTTTTCAGTCATTGAATCATTTATTTAGTTGAATTTGATTTGTTTAAAGACAATGCATATGGACATTTGTGATCTGTATTTCAGTAATATCAGTTTCATGTTCAGTGCTGATAGTTATGTCTATCTAACATTGCTTTCAATCTGCAGTTAATATTGATGGAACCTTGTTGATCTTCATTCTACACAAAACATCACATACCCCACGCTTGTCCTTAGAGCCAACAGAAACGAGAATCAGGGGTTCACAATCGCTGCTGACAGTAGTACTTAGTTGATTGTTGGTCATCTTGTGGATCTCAGGGGTGATGATGATTATCGCCAGGTCACCATATGTTAAGATGGTACACAATCATGGTTTGAACATAAATTGTAAAATACTGTTTTGTGCTTGTATGGACAAGAGGTCTCAAGCCACTGGTTTGTTTATTGACTCGTATGTACGAAACATGTTTATGTTGGAATTCCTCTGATTGAAATGTTTGCTTAACATACCAAATGTCAAGCTTACATGTATCATATGGTTTATCTTATGGGGTACATTGGTGTGACTTCATTATCGAGATAAGAATCATGTTGCAATAGCGTGTATCATTGGAGCCTTAATGGCTCGACAAGTTGTGATGTGTCATTAATGTTACAACTTCAGAAACCTCACTGCCTGGCTCTCTTCAGATACGCTATGTCCAGGTGCCTGTTCCTCTTAGCAAATTTTGTGAAAATTGAGTAGTTTAGATTAACAAGGTTCCACTTACCTCAGGCATTCTTACTTACATCCTATAATTGTTGTATCTTTTTGCAGTGAGTTATTTTTTTCGAAAATATGTTGTTTTATTCCTCTCTGGTTATCAGCCTCATTTGGAAATGTTCTGTTTCAGAATATTGGCTCCACTCTCAAAAACGGTATGCAGTCAGTCCTTGGGTCGATTGCACAGCTGACGTCACCCAAATGAGGGGATGTTAGCATGGAGATGTCGAGGCCCCATTGCATGGAGAGAGGGCTGGAAAAACAATATAATGATGAATCTCGTCACCAGATTCTGCTGAGAACAACAATGTTCACATAGCCTTTCACTTATGACAGCACCTCGTGTAGAGACTGGCGGCAAACCCTCCCAGTTTGATATCAGCTGAGCACACCTGTTTATGTTGAACCAATCATTGTTGTTTCAATCCATTTCTTACTACATCAATGGTGATCTTGCCCAAAATTATTTATTTCAGTTGTAGTTTTTTGGATAGAAGCTTTTGACATAGGCGATATGCATGTATGAAAAGTAATAGACAGCTGTCAATTTGTGTCGGGTAGGACCATTTTGCTGATATGAAACTTACATGTTTGTACATTTGATAATGGTTGGTTAATACACTACTGATTATGATTGGTTGAAATGTGAATGTGTGAGCTGTCAATCAGGATGATTGGCAGATATACGTGATATTTGTATTGTTGAAATGAGCTTGTTCTTTTCTCGTGACCAAGATTTATAGATGTGCATCACTGCAAATGTTGCAATTGACAAGTGTGTATTTATGAAATCAGTGTCTCCGTTTACACCTGCATATTGTGGTCTACATACATCATTGGTTCTTCACAATCACATGGACTGTTTATGTGTATGTACAGCAAGTCAAAGTCACGTTCTGAAGGATATACAGTGAAACCTTGATTGTCCGAACCTCTTAATCCGGAAACCCCACCTCACACCAGGGAACAGTAACATTTATACAAAGGGACATAACTCAGTGACCATCATTCTTTAATCATGAAATTTGATTATCTCGACATTTTCATTGGGAACACTCCTCCATTGATTAGTTCACTGTATCGAAATCTAGACACCTGTTTAACTTGCCGTGGCCTACACCAACTTACATGTAAAGTGTAATTAGAACTCGTTCATTTGACCATCTGTACCACTGGTATTGACTTACATTAAGCTAAAAGTCAAGTTGATGTATGTGTTGTTAGACACTAGTACAAGTTAGTTGTTATAATTTATGTATATTATTGACCATATTAGAATTGACACATATTTTGCAATCTGTTTTACAATGTTTAGAAACAAAATGGCTAAACTAACTAGAGAATGTGATAATACCTTATTTGTTGTTTTAGAGCTGAAAACCAATTTATGATGCCTTCGTCATATTAAAACAACTTTTAGTTTGTGTGATTTTAAAACATGGCATATTATTACTAGCCTCACCAACATAAATGGCTGTCACCTATATTTGTAAGTTAAAGCAATACACATATGTAGAATAACACTGCACTTAGGGATACTTGTGTTACAGGACATTTTGAGATGTGGTCAATGTTTTGATTCCACAGCAAGATAAGATTACAAAGGAGAGACAAAGTTGATTTTGATTGTATATATACCAGTCTTATAATTCAAGGCAGTGTAATTGTAAATGTTTGGAAAATTGTGCCATGGAAACATGGCAGTTCTAGTGCTACAGTAACCCAAAGATTCTACATATTGCCCGAGGTTAGGAATGGGCTTGTGCAATGATAGGTTGGGAGCCATTGTGAATAAGGATCAGTGCATTTACGATACAACTTTGTGGTTGGTGTTAAGATAGGTCAGGTTTTCATGCTATTGAACAGGGTAGAAACACACCACAGGGACACATTTGTTATTTTAAATTGCCGGTACCCATGTATTTGGGCCGGACATTGAATCACTCCCATCAGCTTACAAACCATTGCATTAAGATTCCCGATATAAAAGGTGCTTTAAAATACAACAGTTGAGCTTTTGTGAGAAACAGTACCATGTATATGACAAATTAACGACTAAGTTTGTCATAAATGTGATATACAGTTGAATATTGCATAGATAATTTCAACACCTTAGTCTGTTTTTGTTAGTGTTGTAATTCTCTGACTTACACCATTGGATATAAATGGATTTGATGTTTTGTTTTGTTTTTAGCCATTTTTTTATGGGGATATTATAACCAGGTTTTCGTGGAAAGACAGTTGAATTATAATTGATATGTTTGTATAATTTCACTGGTACTGCCATTCATCAAAACTATTTTGGTTTTATTCACATAATTTTTTTCCTGCTGATATAGTTGAAGAAAATATTTTGTTCATCAAATCAAAACTGAAATACAGTGTGTGTATATATAATATTAGTTACTGCTGGCATATTCTGTAGTTGTGGAAAATAATAATTATGATGAATCAGAATGTATCATTTCCATTTTTCTGTTAAAGAAAAAAGATTTTTTCTCATAATGTGTAAGAGATCTCGCAAGCATTCATCACTGCATTTTTATTAGTTACAAATTTTATGCTTTTAGTACTTTTATTTTGAGTAAATTTTTACATCTTTTTTTAAAAATATACATTATTTTGGTTCTTTGAAATCGACATATCAATGTTCTATGTTTAAAATGTATATTCCGTCTTTGTTACAGAATTTTTTTCAAAGCAAAAATATATCAAGTACTGTTCTGTAAGGTTCTTTGAAAATAGAATTCCTTAAAATTATGTCTGAGCTGTTCAAATTCAAAAATATGATTACATCTTGACAATGTTGTAAATTATATTCAAATCAAAACAACTTGTAGAATCAAATATGTCTCAATTAACTGTTACTAGCTTTGCATAATGATACATAATCAATATTTGGTGTTGCTGTTGTCTGACTGTTATTACAGTGCTGTGAAAATAGATTTATTGATCTTGATCATTTGTAATTGAAGTTGTTCCTCAAAAGTTATATTTCTATATAAGGGCAGTTGAGTTAATTTTTCTGGTTTACAGATTTCTGTGGTAGATTTTACCAAACTGAACTAAAAGGAAGTTTTTTTCAGGACTGAGGTTATTATTTTTTTTAATTTCTTCAAATGAAAGTTTTTACATATTATATAAAGCAAAAAAGCACTTTCATGAGATGAACTCGTCCATAAAAGAAGAAAAATTAATTTGGCCTGGCCCAAAAGGCATATTCTCCAACATGCAGTTTGTGATACTTGTAACAGCATTAAGGATTGTAAGGACTATCGTGGCTGATAGAGGAACCTGCTTCATGAGTGATTAATTTACATAACCAGATCTCTATTAAATGAATTGGCAATGGAACATGCTATCAAAACAAAATACCAAAACACTGTGGATAAATAAAAACAAAAATTCAATGGAGAATACTTTCATTTGGCGGCGTTACCATTTTTCTGTAGGACTCCATGCTGGGTTGTCCAGTGATGCTGTGGAGCTCTATAAAATAGAACAGCCGCATTTGCAGTGTGTGACAGAGCCAGCTATATTCGATATGTATAGGTTGATGAAGACTTTACTGGCATTGAAATTACTAACATTTCCTGATTTGATTATCATGAATCATATATGTCTCCTTGCATCTTCATGCAGCCATGCATAAATTGTTTTTTTCTGAGCTTTATCTCTTTCCTGATTGTCTTGTCTTGTCATTGTTTTGTGTAAATGTTAGCAAATTAATAAGAAAATGAACCCTACCCTCTCATGCTAACTTACAATGAGTGAGCATGCGTTTGAGAGGGACATTGTTTAAATTTTGAATTTAATTTCATCAAACCAAGTGTATGTAAAAACTCCAGAATATAACTGGTATTCAAAGGCTAAAAGAACTTTGGAGAATTGAATTTAAAAGAATACATTTGACACCTTTGGAATTTAATTTATGGAATTGAAACAATTATACAAATAAGAAAATTATGGCCCTTTTTCTGAGCAAATGTTTTTCCTTTAATGATATTCTGTAAATTAACTGTCTTGATGAATAAGATGACTAAATCTAATTGAATTTTTAAAATGCTCGAATATGGAATTTCTTAAAATTTTGACTCTGCCCCCTTTGATCACAGTGGCCTTAACACTCATTTTCTTCTTTTTTCGATTGTCAGATGTCTCGTCTAAAAGCTGTAATTTGAATCAAGTTGCTAAATGGATGAGCCAGCTTGGCCTATGGCTGTATGGTGTATATCAACAACAGATGGTCTAGTGTGGAGGTCTGTTTAGCAGGTTGATCCTTGCTTGTGATCATCCCTTGTGCAGCATACATCCTCATACTTGTGCATAGGTGTTTTACATTTTATTTAAATTTATGCACATAATAAATATGTTAATAACTATCATGATCAAAATTCATATGTAGATCATATTCGAATATCGGTCGGAAATGTGCACTTTGTCTTTAAGTACTTTACAACCTTGGACTTACTTTGCTCAAAATTTACCATTCCTTCGTATGGCCTATTTTCCCCACCTTTGCTCAAGATGTTTCAGTGATGACTTAGGCACAAGCACCGACTTGTGAATTATTATTAAGTTATGTGTTTCACCTGTCCTTGACATTGTCTCATGTTCTGTGTCCTCTCAAAGCAATAATACGATATTTGCTGCAGAAGGGATGTCGATGTCAGGCTTCGTGAAAGTCATGCGTCTATTTGTTATCTGTGCAACTGTTGTTGATTTCTATGTCCCTTTCTCAATCTTCACTTATAGCAAACTGCATGAGGATATTTAGTATTTAGAAACTACAAGTGGAGTCTTTCAACAGTACTTGTTTGTAATTTCTATGTAGGAAGCACTTTTATCATGCAAATCCCTTTAAATGTACAAATTTGTCACATTTTCTATAGAAAGTATCTGGCTCTCATTGGCAATGTGCAATTTCCTGGAAATCATCCATTTTCCAAAGTTTCAGGTCACTTTTGTCCAACTATGTGTATACTACTCAAAATTAGTTAAGGACCACCTGATTCTTTCATATTACTATAGGTAGTCTGTTATGGCATGACAGATTAACTATAGTTCTATGAACGAATAAGTTGATTCTTAACTTTTCTCTGTAGTATACATTTGATCCCAAATTCAAGTTTTTACATATAAGTGTGTGGATGAATGAACCTGTTTATAATTAAAATATACATAACTCCAAATTTTACATTTCTTTCACAGATACATCCAACATTCAAATTTTTTATTTGATTAAATGAATTTATATACAATATGTACAGCAGTTTACAACTTGTCCCCCTAAATCAATATATAAACCACATTTTATATAAGTTGGAATCAAAGTGGTTTCTCCCATCTAAAGAGGGGGCTGTTGGGTAGCCCAGTGGTTAAAGCGTGTACTCGTCTCACCGAACTCCTGGGCTCAATTCCCCACATAGGTACAATATGTGAAGACATTTCTGGTGTCCCCCGCCATAATATTGCTGGAATAAGTGGCATAAAAACATACTTGGTCACTCACTCATCTAAAGAGATACACCAACAAAATTAAATTTGTTTTACTGGACAAAATGTATTTTGAACAGATCAACTTATTTATGTTCTGGAAAAGGGATGAAATTCACCATGCAAGCCTATGTGAGTAGGAGTATTGTATATTTCCTACATCTAACATATCTGTATTTGTATGTTGACGGTGTTAGTTATCGAGGTTTGTGTGATAGACTCGACGGCTTGTATCCAGGCATTTTGCACCATACAAGGATCTAACATTCCTGTTTATTTTAGAAGTATTTAATTTATTTGCTACAGCAAGTCAGTGTCGGTTGTGTGTGTGTTCTGTGATAATCCAAACACGTTGATCATGTTTTAATGTTTTACATTTGTTGCTAACAAGCCTACCATTTGTTTAATAACCAACTTTCTGCTGCTAGAAACAAAAATGTGATTCAGTTAATCATAATATAAATCAGTTATCCCCAAATAAAACTATTCCTTAAAACCCTCACATCAAAAGGGAACTCTCAAAATATTTTGTATTGTCTATTATCATATTTTAAGCATATCATGCATATTAATGATAATACAGTACTAGGATTGTACCTGTAATAACCTGATCTCTCCAGGTATTCTAGTCACAGTACAGATAGTTGTAGTTGTGTAATCATCGATAGTTTTATAGTTACCTTAGATGTCATTTATTGTTACATAATATAAGCACTTTATAAAGTGTTACAGCTCTTATTGCCATATATTGTATTCATGAATAAAACAGCCAATTAATGATCAGATGTTGTAGTCTGAATTTACTTTGTGTCAACATCAGCTCAGAACCGTTCGTTACAACGCATTTCTGTTTTAGCTTGTCCATGGGTCTCTGTTTTTCAAATACTCATCTATATTTGTGCATAAAAACTGTTTTATTTCAGTGTTTCACAGTTGTCGATACAATTTAGCTTGTAATAGAAAAGTTAGTTAACCCTTTTTCTGCTAAATTTGATATATGTGAATTTATTGATTTGTGTTAAACAAATATGTCACCTGATGTATTCTGGTGTATTGCTTTACAAAATGGTTCTTTTGTTGGGTAAAATTCAATGGCACAAATTAAATAAACTGAAAAATTGCAAATGTTTCACTTATGGAAAATGTCCTTCCACTGAGCCTGCTTTTGTGATCGCAAAATTATTCCTGCCACTTTGAATACACCTTCATGAACTTTGGCAACACAGAAAGCTTTTCCAAATATTAACAACTTTTTCAACCCAATTTGCCAAGAGGCATGTTGTATGTTGTTGTATGAGAATGTGTGTTAGGGAATTGAATGTCTTGAACAAACTGTTCTTCTTAACAAAACTATCTTGTTTTAATGATGGTTGCACAGATAATTTGAAAATCTAAGATGCATAAAAACATAAAAACTTCCAAACCCTGGAACAAATTTCAGATATATTTTGGACGGTTTAGAGCAATCCAGATTTTTTAAAAGAATTTTTATTAATATTTTGACATCAATGTAAAAAACTGTAACTTATGGCATCTATTTTCTCATAACGCACATTCCCATGCGGTACTTGGCAGAGAAAGGGTTACTCTCAGTTGCATTACCTTGCATATGTTGGAAAGTAGATCTACCTATAGGTATGGCCTGCAGGTCTGATGGCATCAGAGTTGTGCTGATAATTACCCATGCAAGTCACAACACAGGAGGATGACAGAGGCTAATAAATATATTATGCAATGATGACTTTTGTTTTGTGTGAGATTGTGGACTAAGTGCCGTGTGAGGTGGCCAAGTGGATGATACAGGCACTCATCACAGGAGTGAGTTGGGTTTTACTCTGCTTTGAATCAGTTCTATCACTGTCAGCGTTATATTTGAAAACTCCAACAGTAATTACAGTTGTAGACTTTTACCACTTCAGTAACACCCACAGGTATCCTGTAAGTCCAAAGATTGTAATCAAAGTACATCATAACTTCAAACCAATTACTACTGGATGTTGACCTGTTGGAACAGCTAAGGGACACAACTCTGAACAGCGAGTTGCTAATTTAGACAACTTACAAAATAGTTGTTTGGGTTCTCAAAAGGGTATAGAGGATGTACTTCATCTCCCAATAACTTGTCATAAGTGCCTAAAAACCATGCCATACTTATATTTTTAAAATCTAAAATTTATTTTGAGGATATGTGTTTGTTAGCTTTCATATTGTATGAGGGACTTTAGACATAAGGATACATATGCAAATATGTATGTGTGTATATAGTCTTATCTATATCTGTACTTAAACGTCTTTTTATTAAAATAAACTATTCGCTTGCATGAGAAGTATTCAACATGTTCAAAGTGGGTGGCAAGGGTAGTAGTAATGAGATGAACACTAGAAAACATCTAGTGACAGCCAACATACGAGAGCTTGGTTCATGGACACACAGGGCGGTGGGGTAGCCTAGTGGCTAAAGCGTTCGCTCATCACTCCGAAGACATGGGTTCGATTCCCCACATGGGCACAATGTGTGAAGCCCATCTCTTGTGTCCCCCGCCGTGATATTGCTGAAATATTGCTAGAAACGGCGTAAAACCAAACTCACTCGCCCACTCATGGACACAAATGCATATAATGTCTCCATCATACTACATGAGACATTCCCTCCTCGGGTACGATGAGCCAGCAGGCAAGGTTGCACGTACTGTCCAGGGTTGTGTCCCATGCCTGTCCCAGGATCCTCTGGTTTCCGGATTCACTCCTTGTATGATCCTTGATCAGAACAAAGTAAAGTCACGTTCAACCATGCATCAGTCTATTCCTTTTCTTCGGTGACTTTTCAGCATCACCCTTCCAGTTGTGTGTTGCTGAAAAGTCACCTAAGATAAGGAATAGACTGATGCATGGTTGAACGGGACTTCACTTTGTTCTGATTGTGAATTGAAATTGGCCACAGGAGGTCCAGTCGTCTATGGCGTTGCAAGTCACTGTGCATAGCCATGATCGTGGGTTCGAATACCATTTTGTCCTGATTTTGTTTCAGTTTGTCAGCACCATGCCTGTGCTTGTGGGTTTCAGTAGTAGACCTGCATTAATTACTATGGTCTTAAAACCCACATTTAACTGACACGCCATGATAGATCTTTAATACTGTACAAAAAGACATTAATCCATCCCACTCACTCCTCCATTTAGCTGACACTTGCTGAAATACTGTGAAGTGATGTTTCATCAAACTCGCTCACACAAAAAGGACTTTTCAAAACAAACAAAAATAACACCAAACTTTGTACAGTGAATTTTATTCACAAGTGTGATTGCAACAATGAACACTGTCATAAACATTAGCTATTAACATGAAAATGATGTTTTCAATAAAACTCAAGGATCAGACCGCTTCTTTCCTCACAAAAAAACATCACTTTACCAGTCACAAACATGACTGAATTTCAGTATAATTGAGAACAGATGCCCTGTGAACAGTTACTGAGATGAGGTCTTCTTATCCTGAGGATGAAGTATGAAACTCGTTGTACTTGCTGCCCCAGGTTGAGCTGCCACATCATCAGCCCAAGCTCCTCACAGAGATAGTCCATTCACGGAGCTCTCTATACTATCACTGCCACCAGTCAAAACTCCCCACTGTGATAGGTGGCCCCAACCATGCTTAGAGTTGAACTTGCAACCAAATGACCGTTATGCTTACAAACAACCGACGACTGTCGTCACGCCGAATACACTTACCGCTGATAAATTACTTTCTTTGTCAATTTGAATTTCTATTTCATTAAAAGTATCATCTTTAATTGATATAGTAAGAATGTAAGGGAGAAGTTGGTTGATTTTCCGTTAGTCTGCAATCTCGAACCAATCTGATTATTAAAACAACAAAGTAAATTCATCTAGAAAACATGGTCAGTCATAAACCTTTTCAAAATGAAATATGATGGCATTCCCAAAGACATAAACAAGGTATAAACATTACTGCATATGGGCAAATTTCAAGATTCTTGTAATGTCCGCGCCCACACTGGTGGCAGCGATGTTACCGAGAGTGTAACGAAGGTTTCACGCGCTGGGAAGGAGCTTGATCGTCAGCCAGTACAAGGGGGGTAACTTTATCTTCTATAATGAGGTCCACCATCACTGAGCAATTGAAAAGAAGAAACTGATTACTTTGTATTCTGTTGAAGAACAAAATTTTACTTTTCAATTCTAACAGGTGTCAATTGTGAAATGCAATTTCTTTGGACGCTTTAATAAAATTATCATTATATTGTTTTACAATGTCCAGTAGATGTGTATTGATAGAAATTAAAAGTATGGGACGGTGGGAAGATTTTTCAAATGAAAAGTTTGTTCTAAATATGTCCAAATTTGTTTTTATAAGGGACCGGTCAATTATTACAGGGCTGGGTGGGTCAGGGTTTATTTTATGTACTTATGTACTGAAAAATTATGACCCTCCCCTAATACTTGTCCTATTTTTGGATGACCCTCCCTATGTCCTTGTTCATTTTCTTAATGACCCGCCCCAAATATGTGCATCATTTTCAGTGACAGTCCCCTTGAGACTTTCATAATTTTAAGTCATACCTGTGTAACCATGTCATGTGGCCTGAAGACCTACACTAACTGTCATACCTTTGGTACTGGTACATCATGACATGTCATACCTGTGTAACCATGTCATGTGGCCTGAAGACCTACACTAACTGTCATACCTTTGGTACTGGTACATCATGACATGTCATACCTGTGTAACCATGTCATGTGGCCTGAAGACCTACACTAACTGTCATACCTTTGGTACTGGTACATCATGACATGTCATACCTGTGTAACCATGTCATGTGGCCTGAAGACCTACACTAACTGTCATACCTTTGGTACTGGTACATCATGACATGTCATACCTGTGTAACCATGTCATGTGGCCTGAAGACCTACACAAACTGTCATACCTTTGGTACTGGTACATCATGACATGTCATACCTGTGTAACCATGTCATGTGGCCTGAAGACCTACACTAACTGTCATACCTTTGGTACTGGTACATCATGACATGTCATACCTGTGTAACCATGTCATGTGGCCTGAAGACCTACACAAACTGTCATACCTTTGGTACTGGTACATCATGACATGTCATACCTGTGTAACCATGTCATGTGGCCTGAAGACCTACACTAACTGTCATACCTTTGGTACTGGTACATCATGACATGTCATACCTGTGTAACCATGTCATGTGGCCTGAAGACCTACACTAACTGTCATACCTTTGGTACTGGTACATCATGACATGTCATACCTGTGTAACCATGTCATGTGGCCTGAAGACCTACACTAACTGTCATACCTTTGGTACTGGTACATCATGACATGTCATACCTGTGTAACCATGTCATGTGGCCTGAAGACCTACACAAACTGTCATACCTTTGGTACTGGTACATCATGACATGTCATACCTGTGTAACCATGTCATGTGGCCTGAAGACCTACACAAACTGTCATACCTTTGGTACTGGTACATCATGACATGTCATACCTGTGTAACCATGTCATGTGGCCTGAAGACCTACACAAACTGTCATACCTTTGGTACTGGTACATCATGACATGTCATACCTGTGTAACCATGTCATGTGGCCTGAAGACCTACACTAACTGTCATACCTTTGGTACTGGTACATCATGACATGTCATACCTGTGAATATCATATGACGTGTCATACCTGTGCATATCATGTGACGTGTCATACTTGTGCATATCATGTGACATGTCATACCTGTGCATATCATGTGACATGTCATACCTGTGCATATCATGTGACATGTCATACCTGTGCATATCATGTGACATGTCATACCTGTGCATATCATGTGACATGTCATACCTGTGCATATCATGTAACATGTCATACCTGTGCTAAGCATGTGACATGTAATATCATGCACATCATGTGATGTGTCATACCTGTGCACATCATGTGACGTGTCATACCTATGCACGTCATGTCATACCTGTATGAGTTGTCAGCTCATTCTTCTCGTCCCCCTGTGGACCAACAGTGGACAGGTGGGTTAGTCACAACAAACAACACTGGGGTAAGGGTGCACTGTGCTGTTCACTGGTTCTCATCATATTATTTCTTCTTCCTCCTCCGAGCAGGGTGAGTGAATATTTTATGCAACTTTTAGCAATCTTTCCACTACACAACCGCAAGAGTCTCTGAGAATCGGCTTCAAAATTTGTACGTTTTAAAAAATAAATCAAACTCTCGTTAACCTATTGGCCATTCTCCCCTATAGATGCAAATGAAGAGTACACCCACATCACCTAATTTTCCTACTCAATTACTGCCCAAATCACTTGTTCACCACAGATCCCACAGTCACTAAATAAGCACAGCATAAACCCAGATCACATAATTACTTCAACCTCTCTTATGGGTAACAGTTTGATGAAGTGGGAGGACACTGCAAATGAAGTGTGGAAGCTTCAAAGCAAGCAATTTCAAGCACCCAGCCCGGAAAATGTGCATATTTCTTCATGATTTTAATTTTTGGATAGGATATTCATTTTTCTTAACATGAAGAAAGTAAAAGCATGAACCAGCTTGACGCCGTGATTTCTCCCGTCTAACTCCATTGAATTTCATGTTTTTCATCTCATGCTCGGTGTGCCCCGATTATGTTTCTAGGGTTGTCAGCACCATAACGGTGCTCATGGGTTTCAACAAGTAGTAAATGTCTGAGACCTGCATCACTTTGAGTTTTCATCCAAAGTAAGCTGACACACCGTGATATAACTGGAATACTGTTCAATGTGGCATTAAAACCAATTCACCCCCTCACTCACTCATGGCTTGCAGTCTAAATACCAGTTCAATTTAGGAATAAAGTTTGCTTGATGCTGCACTTTGCAATATTGCAGCTATATGATGGCGATAAATAATCGAGTCTGGACCAGATAATCCATTGATTGATATTGCAAGCAACGATCCACGCCGTCGGAGTAAGATGATGCCATCAACCACATCACCGAGCCTAACCACCAGATCCAATCGGTTGCCTTTTTATTACCAGCATTGTACTGGTGATCAGTTCCAACCAGGAATCCAGTGGTTGATGCACTGACAAACACTCCATCCTCTTGGGGTACAATGCAGGGCTGGGACGAGTCCATATTTACTACCCGGGTACCCGACCCCCTATTACCCGACCCTACCCGGATATCCACTGTAGGTCTCAAAAGTTAGAAACAAAATGTCTGATTGGGAATTGTTTTACCGAGCCCTGGCAAAAACTATTTAGATTCACTTATGAAATGATCTGATCATGAATACACTGAAGTTGACTGAAGCTTTGTTTACTCAAACATATACAAGTCAAAAGGAATGTGTGCATCGTCAGAAAGAAATGCGAACATTAGCAACTTGTAGTGTAACCACTGAGCAATAGTGAGTTTTCATCAATAAACAATATGTCACGTGACTAACCAGGTGTTCGGGTAGTACTGTGGGTACCCGGGTCCTACTCAGGACCCACCTGACCCAAGTACCTGAGTACCCGAGTTACCCATCCCAGCCCTAATACAATGACACAACCAGCCAGGTCTTGTCATCCTCTGTAGCCATCCAATACACATTACTTCGATCATGCAAGTTAAAATATACTACTCAAGTTTTGATAGGGATACCTGTATTCAGACATGTCATTTCTACTTAAATATACACTTGACATATCATGAGAATCAGTTCTGTGTATCATGGAATACAAATATCTGTATCAGTATTTTTTCCCCCGATTGTGAATATATTACACACATTCAGCTTTTCCGATGAATTGGTCAACACCACACCACAAGAGTAAGCAATGAAGTCCAAACAGAAACAATCCCATCATGCATCTCACCTGGGTTTACTTTCTCCCTTTCCTGTCAGCTTTCTTTTAAGAGAAAAAAATAATTCAGATTAATAATGACATTTTTGTCAGACAAATATGAGCAAGCAATTACATTAACCTTGCATATCACTGGTTGGTAAAGTGTGCACTTGGTCATACATTGTATAAGAGATAAGCTGTGGATTCTTCCTAGAGTTCAAGAATATGGTTGCTTCGAACTGGTTGATTTGGGTTTTTTCGGAAAGCAATCAGAGCACTTTATCTAAGTAAAAGAACTGTAATTCACATATTACGTGCCCTGTTCCATTAACTACCTGACCAACTTTTAGACCAGTCTTAAAGTAATTTTTATGAGCGCCCCTACTAAGATCGTAACTTTACATGGTAGTCTGTATATTCTTGTGAAAATTACAGATTTTTTAAAGATAACAGCAGTGCAGATGGAGTATACCATTGCATTGGTAACTACTGATGAGAAAGCTAAGTGTCATCGAACCAAGTCTGTTCACTACCATTCGATCTCTGAATTTTTTTTACTCATTTGAATGGTTTTAATAATGCCCCCTTTGTCAATTTTCCAAGAGCCTGAGCAATTATTACAGCAAATTCGGTATGTTAAAATATGTGAGTTACAATAGTCATAAAGCCTTTAAGATAGCTACACTGAGTCAGGGCCCATCTACACAAAGTAGTTTAGCCCTACGGCAATTATATCCAGTGTATATCAGCACTGATATACTCAAAAGAAGTTAAGAACACCCAATTTCTTCTGTCATGACATGTAGTATATGACAGCTAAGACAGATTTGTGCCACATGCCCGGGCCCATCCTCACAAACCAGTTTTAAATTTTATCAATATTCTCCTTCCTTACAATCTCATTCAAATCAGACCTTAGTTCTCCCACCGCTAAACAAAGATCTGAAGACATCCCATTAGGGGTCCCATCAGAACGACCTTTCATCCGACCAAACAGAGCGTCGCTTACCAGATTATGAAAGTGACAATCGGAATGTGATTTCTAATCATGCAACCTCGAAAACTTTAACACGGAGTATTCTGAACGATAGTTACGGGTTTAACGACTGAATCCATACAATCTAGACCATCTATTAGCCATCAGGTTTCAAATTTGTAATCAAGAATTTGTCAAAATATGTTTCGAAGAGTAGTCACCAATTTGAAATTAGTGCCGTAAAGCACGAGAAAGCTGCCTTCTGATTGGTCATTCCATTGGTCAGTCAAAGTTCGCGCAAGGTCGGTCTGACAAACCCATGATGGAATGTCCTCAGATCTTTGTTTAGTGGTAGCGAGAACTAAGATCTGATTTTAATGAGATTGCCCTCCTTTACACTTGTAACAGTACTTGCAGTAATAAGTGGCTTTGTACAGCTAGCTCCCTGTATAGCCAGTGAGTGTCACACTGGCAATACATTATTAACAGCTTAAAAAATGAAAACAGTAAAAATACAAGGCAATGAATATATTCTGTTATTATTCAGTGCTCAGGTCATTTGGGTAAAATATGTGCAAAAACAACAGTGCAATATGAAATTATTCATGTTTATTCAGTAATAAAATTAGTTTATTAACAAATTAAGTGCTCATGTTAATTCAAACAGACAAAGCTGTCAATTTTGAAACTAAAATGCTGTGTGCACAGATACCAGCTACACGCATTTCTCAATAGTATGACCTGAAATTATGCAAGCAGCAGAAAAACTGTTAAAACAAGGGCTCAATGGGAATATGCTGACCATTATTGACTTGAATACCAACCTAGCTCCTTTAACTCATTATAAGGCCATGTCCTTCTTTCTTCTATAAACAGCCTATAGGTATACTTAGTTATTATTAACCCGCCCCCACCACCAACAATCTCATGCCAAGCCACCTCCCTGAACATGTCCCTACACAATTCATAAACCCTAATATCAACCTTTCTATCTTTACTCAACCAAGACACCTGTTACTCTAACACCAACCCCAGCCACCCATACTCCATTGTAAACCCAACCATCAATCCCTCACCCCCAACCTCACCAACCATCAACCCCTCACCCCCAACCTCACCAACCACTTGTTACAAACTCAGCCCATCCCAGCCCTACCAACCAACCCCTACCCCCGACCCCTCCCCCGACCTCCTCACACCACCTCCACCCCATCTCACCAAATCCCACCTTGAAAAAAAAAATTAATACAGAGGTTTTTGACGGAACTACTTCTACACCTACAGTATTGCCACGGAGAGCACTTTGGCAATAAATATATATAGTATGATATGCTTCCACCTGAAATGAACCTATGTGATGTGGCTAAGAAAATGAACACCTTGGATGAATACGTAAACATGGATGATCGCAGTGACTCTCTACATAATGTTGATATGTTGGTGAGCTAGATACATGATCATCATGGCAATGTGAGAGTATCAACTCCTAATCCATTCCCTACTGGATCAGATTCAAGTAATTAAGTTAGTTCAGGACCACCCAATTCGTTCACATAACTATTGTTAATCTGTCATAGCAATATGAAAAAATGGGGTGGTCCTCAACTCTTTTTAGTACATGTAGTATATATTTTTACTATTCAGATCAGTCCACTTACACAAAGCGATCTTAGGGCTACGTTGATTGTATAACTCCCATTCTCTAACATCGACTTATGATAACCATAGCGCTAAGATCGCTTTGTGCATGTGGACCTTGCTATGAAACAATTAAGAAAATATGTGGCATAAGCTCAAAATAATATCAATCCTTATAGACGTATGTATGACAGGTTTCGCCCATCACCATCACCCAACAGCATCCTCCCACCAGGCACCTGCATGAAGCGTGTGATATAACTCGTATATATCACTGTCAATCAATGATAGGCAATAACAAATATATATGGCACATTTATACAGCAATAGTTAAGAGACATCACAGACAGTTTATATATTTGGTTCTTATATATAAGGCTCAGATTTCTCTATGCAAATATTCATACAAACAGTTCTAAACCAACTATTAGATCTAACACATTTTTACAAAGTGAATGATTAATTTGACATATGCAAAGAAGTTGCATTATTTCAATTGCACCAATTTCACGTTGAACTTAAAAATCATCCATTTTCTACAGCAAACTGAAATTTATTTCCAATTTCAAAACCATCAAAATTGAAGAAACATTTTTCTTTCAAATCTAGGGACAACATATATTGATTGCGAAATGATATAGTGTACCTCCTTCAAAATATTATAATATATGATCATATTCAAATTTAAATATACTTTTTGATGTGCACACATCACAAGCTTGATAAAGCACTTTGCCAAGTTGAGTCCGCAGAAAGCCGACAGCATAATGGGTGACGAAGAGCGTATGTTGCGCAATGTATAGATGACAACTGATGTGAGATATATATTACAGTGCAAATTGATGAAGGAATGAATGTACAGGAGACTTTGACAACTATTTTTGGCATTAGCAAATATCTGAAACATTTTTGTTAATTTTCATAGAATGTAACAGGTACTTCTTTTTTAAAAATAATAAAAGAAAAAGAATTTTTATTTTATAATTTCTTAGAATTAAGCCAAACCTTTTCTTCACACATCTGTAAGCATCCAAAATTAGTGACAATGTTTTGTTCAATATAATATTATGTACTTTTCAATGAAAACTGTGGGTATGAAAGTATTGCTAAAAAAACCTGTCTCTTTATCATAGGAGATGTTTAAGGACTATATTTGAAGCTTATGGAATTATGGACTCCAACGTCAATATTCTTTCAATGTGGTGCTAAGATCTTTAACAGGTAAGTCTACTAGCACCTGCGCCAAAACGTCGCATGGAAAGAATATAGAAGCTGAACTCCAAGTCAGCCCTGGCTTCATTGATACTACAGATTCTAAGATGTCGCTAAACGATACATTTGAAGCATTTGATATATAAAATAGCAACATGTTTATGATGAAAATATTGAACATGATAATAGGGGTTGAGAATAATTAGAAGCAAACATGCAGAAGTCCATTCTCTGAGGAGATACCGGGGTTGCCTTTATTCGGGCAGTGCCAGGATTCTCACTCAGACTAGAGACTAAACACCAGGAATTTTTAGTGAAATAACACAGATATTGTCACTCAGTGAGATAAAACTGTTCAAATGTCACTCCGTGAAATGAACCGTTTCCATTGGTTATGAATAACCCTACAATGTACAATGAATTCACACCAGGGCTGTGCTGCCTGACAGTTTGAGGCTGTTATAATACGAGACAATTTTGAGATTTTGAAGAATGGTTGGTGTTTTCAATATTTTCCATCTATTTTCCATCAAGACTAAAAGTTTTAGATAAGCAGAGCTTATCAAAATGCATGTTTTGGTCACTCAGACTAAAATAAATAAGTCCAACGGTAGTCAAATACTGTATTTTACTCATCAAGGAATACATTTATGTAGGGAGGCCCTTTCCTACAACTGTTTATTTTGTTACACATCTGTTTATTTGGTTACATACCACCATCCCCCACCCCCCCCCCAAAAAAAAAACACCACCCGCCCGCCCGCACTAAATTTTCAAAACCAATTGACTGAGATCCAATTATTTTCTTTTTTTAAGCCTAACTTGTTGGACAAAAATTACTTTTTTAATGAAACATTTTCAGTCACAGACGAGCAACATCTTAAAATGATAAAGTAGGTTTGAAAATCTGGGGGGTTGTGAAGAGTACCATGTGAAGCAAACAGTCTTACAGTGAAATGGATGACTTCAAAGATGGAGTGAGGAAGTATCATATATAAAGGAGATGTAAGATATGTAAAAGTGATCAAGGCCCTACTCCATAAAGCGATCGTAGCACAACAATGATCGTAACTTCTATACTTTAACATAGCTGTACGATCATCGTAGCGCTAAGATCGGTTTGCGGAACAAGGGCATATGAAGAAGAGGAAGAAGTCACCACATGCATTTATGGAAGAAAGGAGTTGAGTAACCCAAAATTGGAATTGAAAATAGAACTCGGTGCAGAATAGAAAATGAACTGTGAAAGAAAGGACAAATTCATTGTTTCAGGATGACCAATATTTGGAATTAATCCTCATCAGGGCCAAGATGGTTTCATATCAGGCCCTGAGTATGGATAATTATCAGATAATGGTTTCACTGTATAAAACAAGGATAATATGATGCATATTATATGAAAATGATGACAAACTGCAAGTCCATCACCTTATCATAGTCACTTTGCCTGAAAAATTGAGATATCCACTTAATTTCAATACTATTTCCAAATAAGCATGTGTATTATCTGATGAGAATGACATGAATGGAAACATCTCAAAGCAAGAGACTTCTGTCAAATTCAGTTTTCCTCCTTAAATGGCACTCATTTTGATTTTCGTTTACAAAATCCTATATATTGAAATTTCCATATATATATATCTTATAAAGTCTGTTATAAAAGTGAAATTTACTGTAATCTTCTTTATCTGATATTGATCAAATACAATTTTCTTGAAAGAAGTAAATGTTTTATCACAATTTAATGGCATGTCATTGTTTAAATACTGAATAAATTAAATGTATTTGGCATAGTCAACCTTCTCAAAATATTTTCAGAAAATCACATGGCAATCATTATTGAGTACACATGATCTTCACGGGTTAATGATTTGTCACCAGATCCAGAGTTCAGATGTAAGGAATCACAACGTAATGTAGTTCTGAGAACAAATCTTGACAGAAGCCTTTGCAACAAGTAAACAAGCACACAAATACATGACAACATCAACGCGCAGGAGAAGAGACAAGAATTGTGTGGCCTTGTTGTACGGTATATTGCGGTACATTACATATACAGAGCACTTACTGTAGGGTAAGGTAGACTGTCCTAGCAAATGACACATAGACACATCGATGTATATATATCAAAACATAGTTAACTGTTACACTTTCCACATAACCATGAAATACGCTAAAGTTGTAGTTACATTTTCATGCACAATTCATCATAAGTGGTGATCGCATGCAAGCAAGATTGACTGAAATCATTAATTCGATTCCAACTACTGCACATGTTAGAATCTATAAGGATTTTGGTTTTCATAAAAATGGTACTGTTATCACAAATATTGCATAAAACATTGTTATTTGGCTTGGATCTGTTTGAAAAAAAAAAGATACAATTTCTTCATATATAAAAAAACATCTTTGAGGTAAACATAAATTGTATAAAATTTCAGTAATAATCTTGCTTTGTGGTATATCAAACTGAACCAAAATACATATTGCAATTCACGGCAAAGAGTCACATGATGTGTTGGTTGTCGTGTGTAAAAGGACGGAATATATAAGCATCCCCAAACCATGATGCAAACATTTAAAATAGACTTCAATAATTTTACTGTGAAAATAGAGAAAAAAAAATCACATGACACCCAACAAGCACATGACCTTCACCTTCAAGGCCATGACCTTCACCCGCAACCAAATGACCTTCACCTAAAAGGTGCAGGGTGTTTCACCACACGTGCATATTCAGGAACAAGTGATTTTAGTGGTTTCTGTGCCGATGTTGGTGAAACTAACCGTGGCTGACTGGCATGCAGCCTTGCTCCAATCAACATTCTGCTGGAGCGTGTCGGTGAACGTGATGCAGAATTTATATAGTTTGACACAGGGCTGCTGACAGAAATGTTGTGCTTTTGATATGCTGGAACACTATTGGGTGCTGAAGTTGTGCCCCGAATTCTCTTTGGTGATTTTCGCCGTCTCCGGCCATTTTCTGCCCCTTCCCCTTTATGGGGAGGGTTACCCATAAGTCCTTTGGCTGCAGCACGTGCAATTACATCCCGTGCAGTTTCCTTAACTTCTTCCGGCTAGTGACATAGAAAACATCATCAGTAGTGATCATATATCTTTCAAGAGAGAACTTACCTACTTTTGATAAATTTGAAATTCTTTGGATCTGTTAGTTTGTTTACGTGTTGCGTAATGCCTCACTCAGCAATATTCCAGACGTATAATGTCTGCCTGTAATTATTAATCAAATCTGGAGCAGACAAACCAATTTTGTCAACGTCCCACGTCTACACAATCAACCAAGTCACTGAGCCAGCCCACCCAATCGATCAAGTCGCCTGTAATGACCAGCATAGGTGCTGGGAATATATTCTAACCCGGAATCTCCATGAGAGGGTCTTTAGTTTTCCAAGAAAGAATTTTATCCGTGTTTTATAAATTTATAATTCTTTGGAAAGTTTTACAACAGAATTGCCTAAAGGATCATAATTGTTGACCATCCTATTCCATGGTGTGTCACATAAAGTGCCATCGTCAATTCATTCTTTTTAAAATTACAATCCAGTAATCTCCAAACTATTGGCACTATTCATCAGCTGATGGTTTCAGAAGTACAGTTTAATGTAATATTACCCCAAGTGAAAAATAAACAACATTAAAGAAACAACATTTTACATAAATATTTTAAATAATAATGTAACCATGGAAACATGCAACAGTGCCTAACGAAACATGCTGCATTCATGAATTGTGACATGACCAACAAGTGATTCTACATCTGTCAAACCTAACTGACTGAGATACTGCATTCTATTGATCATCCATCTAACCTTCATTCAACTATGTAACTATACAGTCCTTCACTTCTAAAAGTACAGTACTTACCAAATACTAAAGAATAAACGTTAAATCAGTTATGGTAATATTAATTAGCTGTATAAAATTTATTTTCTAAAGTTCTACCTTCAATATCACATCAAGCTATTTTTCTTTTAAAAAACATCTGTTTAATGTCATGATGTTGAACAGGAAAGTGTTTCCAATTTTCAGCTAAATTACAAAAAATATTTTCCATTTGACATTACTCTTATGTAGTTACATTAAGTAATATACAATATGACCAAATTTCCATAAATATTGTTTAAAATTATTATTATGCTTAGAAAGATATAAGGAAATATTTCTTACCTCTCTTGTGATGACAGCAACAAAACAGCCGTTCATTTTTGGAGATGGTTTGAATTTCATAAATTTTCCCACAATTCCCTCGTTATTTTCAATCTCCTCCCCATTAAATGGCAAGACAGGTGGTACAAGGCGGAATGGTACAGCCTTCTTGTTTTGTACCATGTTCATGTACTCCACGGCTTTCAGTACCACGTTATCATTCTCCGCCTCGAACACAGACCGGGTCACATACACAATGGCCTGCACTTTCGGCACTGGAATCAAAAGTGAGTGAGTGAGTGAGCATGTGAATGAGTGAGTGAGTGAGTGAGCATGTGAATGAGTGAGTGAGGGACAGAGTTCTTCAGGGATAGAACTTTATAAACATTCTCAGAACTAAAGGTTACTCCTAAGTTTAAATGGTTTTTATTTTTTCAAAGAGTTTACTCTTAGACTTATCCATTAAATTTCTTCAGGCTTCAGATTATACTTGGAGTAAAATATAGTTCTAAATACTAAGAATCTTTTTAACTGCAGCCTTAGGCCTGCAAATTGTCATCAGCTCTGGACCAGACGAGCCAATGGCCAAACTGCTGCAATGATTCACATTTGCCTTAGAAGGCACACTAACCTGATTGATGCATATCAACATATCCCAAATTGCATAGATTGATGCTCATTATGTCAATCACTGGATTGTCTGGTCCAGACTTGATTATTTACAGACTGCCATCATAAAGCTGGAATATTGCTGAATGTGGCGTTAAAAACAAAAAAGGAAAGGTCAATGTTATTAAGACTGCATTATTACTTTTCATGGCCTGCCGGAGCCAGAAGTTGTGTCGTGACGTGAACTCCCCGAGTCGGGATGAGTTGGACTCCCCCAGTGATAGGTCTCGCAGTATCTTCATGTCTGAAACAAGGGAAATAAACCAGTGTACACAGTGGGCCTCGAATACATGTAGACTGAAGACAGAACAGACTGATGGCATCTTCCCGAGGCAAGGGAGTTAACTGACTACAAAAGTCCAGTTTCCACCCTTGCTAAACTTGGCTGGAATTCCGGAGTTACATTTCGGCTGGACTATCGACTCTATGCATAGTCTAATCAAAATGGGTAACGAACTAGACATCCGGTTCGTAAACAACATGGATTTCACCATGCACATTTCGGTCGACTGCAGGATTTGCAAAGTATGTGTACCGTCAACTGTGCGTCAACAGATATTTTGCAAGCGGTGTGATGCACTTTGCGGGGTAAGACCCATTTTATTACAATATAGATCTTGATTATCGATCAGATGGTCTTGATTGAGCGCCGCCATTTTGTTCGAAGCAAATGCAAGTAATATGAGAGATGGAATATGATTGGTCAATGGGAGAGACATATAAGGGACATAACTAGTAAAAGCAACTACAATGGATATTCCAGCCTAGTTCAGCAAGGGTGGAAACTGGACCTTTATTGTCAGTTAACGCCCTTGCCTCAGGAAGATGGACTGATGGATTTCAACTTCTTTAGTCTTTCAATGCAATACAGTACAGGAGCCAGAGCATCAAGGAAGTAACACGTTCTGGACTTGTGGGCAAATCTATTTTGAACACTAAACAGTTTACTCAGGACAGTGGATCAATTTCAGCACAAGGCTATGGAACAGGATGGGTGTTTCTTTCGAGCCATTTCTTTAATTTTCGGGAGTAAAGATGCTGCAATATTCAGAAAGGTGTCGCTTAAGAGTGCTTCCATACCACAGGGGAAGCACTAGACTACAGGATAGGATGTGCACACATGCAGTTGGTGGGAAGCACCTGTCGTGTTATCTCACCTTCTCCCTCACTGATGACAAACTCCACAGGGTTGGTGATGCCAGACTTGCTGCATTCTGCAGTTACCAGGACAACACGCACGTTCTTGAAGCGGCTGTCGTCTGTGTCCACGTCCATGAAGGAGTCTGACATCATGCGAATATCTGATTCTTGGTCAAGGAAACACACACGGTTGGTAAAGGCATACTTCTTTTATAAACCAGCTTGACAGACACATGGAAGATCATCACTGGGGCAAATCTGGAAGTCCAATGAACAACGAGCCGTTCCTCACACTGCTAAGGAATGCATGGGGTCTGAGGCATCACGCTATCCAGAAACGATTTCCTCAGAAGTGTGATGGAGCTGAGAATACACTGATACAGTGACAGGGGTCATGATTGTTTTTGATTATTTGCTTGTTGTTTAACGCCGCACTCAGCATCATTCAAGCTATATGACGGTGGTCTGTAAATAATCGAGTCTGGACCAGACAATCCAGTGATTGATATCATGAGCATCGATCCACGCAATTGGGATCGATGACATGCATCAACCAAGTCAGCGAGCCTGACCACCCGATCCCGTTAGTCGCCTCTTACGACAAGCATGTAGTCGCCTTTTACGGTAAGCATGGGTTGCTAAAGACATATTCTACCCCAGAAGAGGGTGACAGTGGTGCGTTAACCGTAATTATGCATTGTTGTTGTTATTATTATTAATATTATTATTTTATTTTGTTATTATTGTTGTTGTTGTAACAATTCCTTCTACACACTGAATAACAATTAAGCTTTATACGTGTCACTACCAGCTTAAATCAACATATATTGCTATCAATACAACTTAAACCCCTTCCACCTTTTCTGTTCTTCATACTCATTCTACATAATCCTCAGTTAAACACCTTCAAGACCATCGACACAACCACACCCAATCACAACACAAGGATACTTCTCACTCCCAGATGGTCGAAAGTGTGATGCACTCTGTACGACTCGACATCACAGGTGGCACCGAAAGCATAGATGTGGGACCCCGACCCCTTCAGGAGACTGGACAAGTGGGCAGTGGTCAAGCCGGACCCCATGTTGACATGGATGACGTCGTCTTCTTCATTCAGCAGATGTTTGACGGAGTGGGGTGCCAGGCAGCTGGACTTGTCCTGAACATACAACACACTGTTTTAGAAGGTCAGTAGGCCATGAGATTTAGGGCCTTTAGTCAGAAGGCCATGAGATTTAGGGCCTTTAGTCAGTAGGCCATGAGATGTAGGGCCTTTAGTCAGAAGGCCATGAGATTTAGGGCCTTTAGTCAGAAGGCCATGAGATTTAGGGCCTTTAGTCAGTAGGCAGTGAGATATAAAAGGCCTTTAGTCAGGTTGGTTGGTTTGTTGTTTAACGCCGCACTCAGCAATATTCCAGCTATATGACGGCAGTCCGTAAATAATCAAGTCTGGACCAGACAATCCAGTGATCGATATCATGAGCATCGATCAACACAATTGGGATCGATGACATGCATAAACCATGTCAGCAAGCCTGACCACCCAATCCCATTAGTCGCCTTTTACGACAAGCATAGTTGCCTTTTACGGCAAGCATGGGTTGCTGAAGACCTATTCTACCCTAGCTCTTCACGGGTCTAGTCAGTAGGCAGTGAGATATATAGTCAGTAGGCAGTGAGATATATAGTCAGTAGGCAGTGAGATATATAAGGCCTTTAGTCAGTAGGCAGTGAGATATATAAGGCATTTAGTCAGAAGGCAGTGAGATTTAGGGCCTTTCTTCAGTAGGCAGTGAGATTAAGGGCCTTTAGTCAGTAGGCAGTGAGATGTAGGGCCTTTAGTTGGAAGGCAGTAAGATTTAGGGCCTTTAGTCAGTAGGTAGTGAGATATATAAGGCCTTTAGTCAGTAGGCAGTGAGATGTTGGGCCTTAAGTAAGTGAAACAGATTTGTGGAACAGGGCCCTAATCTCTCCAAACAATTGACATGGGAACACTTCACATCATCAAAATTGTATATAGACTCATTTTCAGTTTTTAAAACCAACAATGTAACAAATATTATTATAATCAGTAAACAGCATTAAAAGACCAAGTTGTACTTTTTAATGCTATGTTTGCAGTGTTTAGTAATCAGATATGATTTGTTGCATGTTATTAGTATAGTAAACAAAAACAGATTCATTTCTTCCTGCTGATGCCTCCTCAAATTAGTACTATAAGTAGTTTAGTGCAGACAGCAAGCACCAAAACATTGAGTTGTTCAGAACAACGTCTCTGAATGATAATAATAGCATCCCTAATACTTTGAATTTTTGTGGTGAGTTTCGGATCAGCATCAGATAATGACAATGAAGCTGCCTAAGTTCCACCCTGCATTGACAATGGCCTGCACAAATGTGTGAAAGTCCCATACATACCCACTGCACACAGTAAATGGAAACAAATACCTCAGCATTTTCAAATATATTCCATAACTTAATAAAGTATTGACACCTGCTAAAAGAACCTACAGGGGCATCTATATTTTCTCAATTCAAACATTATTTATGCCATCTGAAAAAAATAATTCAACATCTTAAAAAAGATCATCAGTAAAATACCATTCTCTTCCTCACGAAAACCATTAAAATGTCCTGGAAACCTATACGCATAAAATGTATTCAATCAAACGTAAAAACAGATAAGCCCCAAGATGTCACGAACCAATCCTTCACCCAACTCAGGAATAAATTGAATCATCCATGATGTTGCACGTTGTGTTCAAAGTGGAAATAATCCGCTCATCCATGATACAAAAACATGATTAAATCCTTTTGATCATCGCTGGTCATTATGAGAAAACAGCTGGGAGGACAAAACTCTGGCAGGTTGCACATTGCATGTGACAACACCCTTCAGACATTGACAACACCCTTCAGACATTGACAACACCCTTCAGACATTGACAACACGCTTCAGACATTAACAACATGCTTCAGACATTGACAACACCCTTCAGACATTGACAACATCCTTCAGACATTGACAACACCCTTCAGACATTGAAAACATCCTTCAGACATTGACAACACCCTTCAGACATTGACAACACCCTTCAGACACTGACAACAACCTTCAGACATTGACAACATCCTTCAGACATTGACAACATCCTTCAGACATTGACAACACCCTTCAGACATTGAAAACATCCTTCAGACATTGACAACACCCTTCAGACATTGACAACACCCTTCAGACACTGACAACAACCTTCAGACATTGACAACATCCTTCAGACATTGACAACATCCTTCAGACATTGAAAACACCCTTCAGACATTGAAAACACCCTTCAGACATTGAAAACATCCTTCAGACATTAACACCCTTCAGACATTGAAAACACCCTTCAGACATTGACAACACAAAACTGAAATCAACATCACACATCTATAAAAACATATACAAATCAGGTTCCGATTTCCATGGTGTCCCCTGGATAGCCGCTATATACACATCAGCAAACAGTGATGACACGGGATGGGTGTCTATGTACATCATGTTGTCCATGACGCTGACAGGAGAACGTCTACAACGCCCATCAATCACACATGTCAGCTCTTTCCTGTGTTGTTGTGTTTATGAAACTGATATGCAAATATTGATTGATTGATTTAATGTGGGGATACAGAGTGGTAATGAAGCATTACCTTCAACATGCAAAGGTAATTTGTCCTCAATGAAACCATCACGTGAGACTTATGAGGGTCACTAAGATCAAGGCTCATGCAGAATATTTTTCAAAATTTGGTATACATATCATGACAAATGCCTGTCAGATCCCCGGAAGCACTCAGATTTGTGGCAGATTCTCAGATCTGTGACATATTTTATCTTAGGTAGATCTGACCAAGGCATGTCTACAATAATATGAGGTGAGGTGAAATGGGGTTTGACGTCCAAACTTATTGCACTTATATATATAGTGATGTGTTTGTGTGAGGTGAGGTGAAATGGGGTTTAACATCCAAACTTATTGCACTTATATATATAGTGATGTGTTTGTGTGAGGTGAGGTGAGGTGAAATGGGGTTTAAAGCTTATTTCACTTGTGTGATGTGTGTGAGGTGAGGTGAAATGGGGTTTAACGTCCAAGCTTATTGCACTTATATATACAGTGAGGTGTTTGTGTGAAGTGAGGCGAGGTGAGGTGAGGTGAGGTGAGGTGAGGTGAGGTGAGGTGAGGTGAGGTGAAATCAGGTTTAACGTCCAAGCTTATTGCACTTATACAGTGTGTGTGTGTGTGTGTGTGTGTGTGTGTGTGTGTGTGTGTGTGTGTGTGTGTGTGTGTGTGTGTGTGTGTGTGTGTGTGTGTGTGTGTGTGTGTGTTTGCGTGTGCGCACGCGTGGCTGCTTGTACTAGTCAGGACTGATGCCGATTTATAGTGCTAGACCATTAAGATACCATACCGCAGTTTAACATGCATACCCCACTCAGACACAGTATACCGACTCCAAGCCAACCAGTCCTTGATTAAGCCCCTTAAAGCCAAGCGCCAGACAGGGTAACAACAAGTACCATCTTTTAACGTCCTTTGGTATGACAGGCCGGGGATCAAACCCTGGACCTTCCGCTCTCCGGGCGGATGCTCTACCACCAGACCACGGAGGCGGTCCACAATAATATGAATCATTAAGAGGTGAGATGAGGTTCAGCAGATGCTCCAAACAATGAAGAAGTTAAAATGAGTGTAGAAATAATAAAAACAGATTCTATTGATAGTAAAGAGTACACAAGGGGACGGTAAAGGGTGAAACCAGGCACAACCAGACAGCATTCATGACATGTTTGTTTGTGTGTTTGTTTGTTTGTTGTTCAACACCTAACTCAATATTCCAGCTATAACATCATGAGCTTCAATCTATGCAATTTGGGTACGATGACATGCATCAATCAAGACTGCGAGCCTGACCACCAGATACTGTTAGTCGCCTCTTACGACAAGCATGCATGACATGTATATCAAAATCGGACTGTACATTTCTACCACATTATTAACAGATTAGAGATGATAAGAGGTGTGGCAGGGTAGCCTAATGGTGAAAGCGTTTGCTTGTTAGACCAAAGACCCAGGTTCAATTCCTCCCATGCGAGAAGCCCATTCCTTATATCCCCTGTCTGACGGTGGTGGAATATTGCTAACAGCAGCACAAAACCTGACTTACTCATGACCACTAGAAGTGAGTCCCACATAAATGGTAGGGAGCTGATCTGGGCCCACTTGCACCATGCGACCTTACTGCTAAGACCATCGTAACTCCCATACTTTAACATAGACTTACAATAGTCTTAGCGCTAAGATTGTTTTGTGCAAGTGAGCATCCTACTTACCCTAAGGGGCAGTCGAGTAGCCTTGTGGTTAAAGCGTTCACTCATCACGCTGAAGACCCGGGTTCGATTCCTGACATGGGTACAATGTGTGAAGCCCATTTCTGGTGTCCCCTGCCTTGATATTGCTGGAATATTGCTGACAGCGGCGTAAAACCATACTCACTCACTCACTCACTCACTCATCCTACACATAATCGTGACAGTAACAAAATGATGGCTGCCTAATGGATAGTATAGCATGGTGGAATCACGTGTGTGTGAGTGACTTTGAAAGTATTGTCGCACTGGATAAGCGAGCCACACTAATGAAGATAGTATCTCTTGATGACATGATGAACACGATTTCATAGCCTGAATGACATCACAACAATAATTTTCAAAACAACACTACGCTTTGATTTATTTTCCACAAGTTCTTACTATAATATGTTCATATTTATTCTCAGACTATTCAGATCAGTTTGTTCACGTCACTGTTTTCATGGACCCCTTATCATGCTCTAGACCCTTGACATCTAGCTACAGTTATCAACAAAATTAGCACTTTGGAAAATTATGCCGCCACCTTGGACAAACGTACTACATCACCTTTGACAACTAAATCATATCTGATTGTAAACAAAATCAAAGGAAAACTAACAGTATGAACTATTATTAACAACTAACGGTTCTATTAAAGAAAAAATAAACATTCCCCAAATACAATAAAATGGCCTCATCAAAGATCCAGCTGACACATTCATCAGCTATCAGTACAAATTGTGTGCATGGCGCCGTGTCGTATCAGCATCTCTTGTCACATAAATCTGCTGCTGTATCGACCTGCGTACGCCGTGAGACAGGTTACAGCACCAAGTCAACACTGCAGGCTGGCGGCGTTCAGGGGTGCACAGATGGTGCTCTTTGACAACCTCTAGCAGTAAATATTGCAAATCATTTATAAAGAGCAAATGCCCCAAATATTTTCACAAGAAGCCCTTGTTTTCAAGGTCATAACTCGAAGAATTTGTTTTCTTTTAAAATATATTTCAATGATTTGAAACACTTAGTAATTAATGTTGAGGCCCAAACTTATACTTATACTTCATCAAATTTGAATCTGATTAGGGGGTAGAAGTTTTGTTAAATCTTTGTCTACAATGTCTGTACAGCCTCTTTAAGGATGACAATAAATTGTACAAGCTTTAAAAATATTTACCCATATTTAAATAATGATGACGCCCTCTATAGAATCCGACCTTGGCAATGTTGGACAGTCCATTTTATGCACAGGTTGGTATTTCCCGCATATTATCACAATCCTCACTTCGATTACCTAAATCTTTTCTCCCAATACCGATTGTCATGTCTCTCCCACTTTTGGATGCGATCATTTGGCTATCGCTTTTATCTGCGTCATCTGACATCATGATAGAACAATGTTTTATCTTGAAATAAACCATGCTTCGTTCTTCATTGTTCTTTGCGATTCATCCTGTAGCTACCTTATATTGTGAATTAAATGTGAACTTTCCGAAATTTACAAATTATTTCAGCTCATCCATTGTAGGTTCTAGAGGATAATAAAGTTGAAAGATGTTTTTTTTAACTTGAGTGCTGCTCATGACACAACCAATATATTCAGACCTCTGTACCTTGCAGTTCTGAGAAATAACTTTCAGTTGAAATGCCTTAAAACAACTGACTTTTCACTGTGCATGAATTTAATGCTTGATAACAATCTTTTCTTCTCAATCCCAAATTTGAAAAAAAGCCTGTGCCATTTGGCTTGGGAAAAATGAAAGACACATCAATTTAACTTTAATTAGATTAACATGTTATCAGATCAACTTTGGTTTTGTTGTTTTCGTCTACATTCTGTCATTTCTGACAGAGCATATGACATCATCCATTGTATCGTTACGTCATAGTTATTATCAACTCGATCATCATCACACAATCACCCCCATCATCAAATGTCTCACTTAACAAACATAATCTATTGGATTATTTTTAGACTTAACTATATAAGCATGTGTTTTCGAGAAATTACTACTTTCATCCAACACTGAAATTATGAAGCTAAAGCCGAACATCTTCATCGATTTGAACTACGTAAACCAAGTGGCATCGGTGTTCCAAAACAGTATCATCAAACATACATCATAAGGTTCCATCTGATATAGCTGTAATCAAGCTGACATGCTCATGAAATAATCATCCCGTCGGTGCCATCTGATCTTGATGCACCTGGAGCCGGGGGGATACCCCCAACAGCCTCAATCAAGCCGGCACTGATGGCCATGTGTATATTTAATGACAATATGTGAGTAATTAAAATCTCCACTGCATGCTCTGTCACTATCAACCACAAGGTAAAGACACTGACGTGATCACCATCTATAATTAAGCATTGTAGCGGTCCAGGTTGACACCTCCATGACAATTAGTCTTCGGATGCTAAATAATCACCTTGAGATCTACCAGTATCTACACGGAGAGGTGATCAAAGGCTGCATGATGACCATGACGCAAGGAGCTGGTATACCTACAGCCACTAATCTACATAGACTCAGTCTTGACATGTTGACCATTCTTCATGACAGTATGACCTGATGACATCTATCACTGAGGCTATATGACCTGATGACATATATGCCATTGTTACAACATGACCTGATGACATATACCATTGTTACAACATGACCTGATGACATATACCATTGTTACAACATGACCTGATGACATATATGCCATTGTTACAATACAACCTGATGACATATACCATTGTTACAATATGGCCTGATGACATATACCATTGTTACAACATGACCTGATGACATATACCATTGTTACAATATGGCCTGATGACATATACCATTGTTACAATATGGCCTGATGACATATACCATTGTTACAACATGACCTGATGACATATACCATTGTTACAATATGGCCTGATGACATCTACTAATGTGACAATATGACCTGATTACATCTACCACTGTGGCAATATGACCTGATGACATCTATCACTGTGGCAATATGACCTGATGACATCTAGCATCTTGACAATATGACCTGATGACATCTACCTTTGTAACAATATGACCTGATGACATCTACTAATGTGACAATATGACCTGGTGACACCTACCTGCATGACAATCTGACCTGACGACACCTACCTGCATGACGATCTGACCTGACGACACCTACCTGCATGACAATCTAACCTGACAACACCTACCTGCATGACGATCTGACCTGACGACACCTACCTGCATGACAATCTAACCTGACAACACCTACCTGCATGACAATCTGACCTAACGACACCTACCTGCATGACAATCTGACCTGACGACACCTACCTGCATGACGATCTGACCTGATGACACCTACCTGCATGACAATCTAACCTGACGACACCTACCTGCATGACAATCTGACCTGACGACACCTACCTGCATGAGTATGACCTGACGACACCTACCTGCATGACAGTATGACCTGACGACACCTACCTGCATGACAGTATGACCTGACGACACCTACCTGCATGACAATATGACCTGACGACACCTACCTGCATGACAATATGCCCCGACGTCACCAGCGGATGGCCATGGAGATATTGAGCAGCATCAGGAGCAAACACAAGCATGTCTGGACAGTGGTGGTCCACCACAAATTTCTTCTCCTTCAAATCCAGCACGGAACAGGACACCTGCTCATGGCCCTCCTCCTTCAATCTGTGGATCACATCCGCCAAACTGGGGACAAACAGATGGCATATCAGCAACATCATTTGATAGCATGTAGATTAAATTATGTCATTTGTGAAAAGTGTCAGCAGGTATTTGGACATACATTTCCATTCCTGAAAGTCGTATGTTGAAAGTCTATGTTAAACCAGAGAAGGTAAGTCAAAATGCATGGTGTAAGTAAACCCTGAGTTCATGATTACTGTAGTCCCTGTTCATTATGTTAACATGGGGTCAGGTGAAACGGGGTTTAATGTCACGGTCAAGATAATTGCATACAGCAAAGTGTGTGTGTGTGTCTGTGTGTTCATGTCTGTGTGTGCATGTGTGTGCCTGCATGTTAACTCACTTTGTTTTGTGATGGTTGACCCACATGTAAACATGTTAACTCACTTTGTTTTGTGATGGTTGATCCACATGTAAACATGTTAACTTACTTTTTTTTGTGATAGTTGACCCACATGTAAACACGTTAACTTACTTTGTTTTGTGATGGTTGACCCACATGTAAACATGTTAACTTACTTTGTTTTGTGATGGTTGACACACATGTAAACATGTTAACTTACTTTTTTTTGTGATGGTTGACCCACATGTAAACACGTTAACTCACTTTGTTTTGTGATGGTTGACCCACATGTAAACATGTTAACTTACTTTGTTTTGTGATGGTTGACCCACATGTAAACACGTTAACTTACTTAGTTTTGTGATGGTTGACCCACATGTAAACATGTTAACTCACTTTGTTTTGTGATGGTTGACCCACATGTAAACATGTTAACTCACTTTGTTTTGTGATGGTTGACCCACATGTAAACATGTTAACTCACTTTGTTTTGTGATGGTTGACCCACATGTAAACACGTTAACTCACTTTGTTTTGTGATGGTTGACCCACATGTAAACATGTTAACTCACTTTGTTTTGTGATTGTTGACCCACATGTAAACACATTAACTTACTTTGTTTTGTGATGGTTGACCCACATGTAAACACGTTAACTTACTTTGTTTTGTGATGGTTGACCCACATGTAAACACGTTAACTTACTTTGTTTTGTGATGGTTGACCCACATGTAAACACGTTAACTTACTTTGTTTTGTGATGGTTGACCCACATGTAAACACGTTAACTCACTTTGTTTTGTGATGGTTGACCCACATGTAAACATGTTAACTCACTTTGTTTTGTGATGGTTGACCCACATGTAAACTGGCATCTGGAACTTGTTGTTCTCCTCCTGCTGGCGAACCTGTTCTGGCAGCAGGAACTCTATAGAGGGCGCTCTGGCCTTGATGCGATGTCGGGCCAGACAGGCATTCAGCTTGATCTTGAAGTCGAGTATTGCACGTTCCACCTCCAAGCACACCTCATCCAGTTCCTCATCCGGGAAGGGGGAGCGATGCTGAAACTTCCTGGTCTGGAAGTCAAAGAGCATCACCATGACTAGACTCTGGTCATGCTTCACCTGAAACATACAGAATAATGCTCATGTTATTTTTGTTTGTTTATTATTTTGCACCACGAGAAGCAATATTACAGGGACCTTTAGATAAATAATGTTTAGACCTCAAAAAGCAGTGGATGATGTTATGAGCATACTATGTCCAATGTCGTTGGGGTACAATGACAAGTGACAAAGGCTGACCATCCAATCCCATTTAGTCACCTCCTACTGTCATGTAGGTGCTTTCGAGTGCATGTCCCAACAGAGGGTTCAACAAAAAAAGCATGCTTGTTATTTGTTAAGTTTTAACTTTAAAAGTTCTTATTTTCACAAATGAAACAAACTTTCTTAAAAGGGCATTTAAACTGAATCGCACTTCTTCAAATATTAATTTAACACTGATCACAATTTCTTGGTAATTCTTTTGTCATAGCTGATTTATATGTTCCCTCTAGAAACTTTGTTTGTTTGTTCATCGTTTAACGCTACACTCGGCAATATTCCAGCTATACAATAGCAGCCTGTAAATAATTGAGTCTGGACTCAACAATCCAGTGATTGATATCATGAGCATCTATCTACGCAATTGGGATATGATGGCATACATCGACCAAGTCAGCGAGCCTGATCCCCTTAGTCGCCACTTACAATGAGCATACAGTTGCCCGTTACGGAAAGCCGGGTAATTGAAGACCAGTTCTAACCCAGATCTTCATGGGTCTGAAACTTGACGTACTGATCTGTTTTCAAACATTATTCTCCAATTCCCTCGATTCTAAAAAATCCATTTAAAATATAAAAAAATGGAAAAACTAAGTCTGTGTTCACTCAAGGATGTGACTAATATTATAACATTCCTTGGGAACAGAAACACACAGCTGACTGACACATACAACTAAATGTCCCATCATGATGGACACCTGCCTGTAACTCCTTCCACTCGAGTTGTCCACAACACACACCTTGTGTGACAGGACGCCACAGACCACCTCACTACAATAGACATTGACACCTGGTATTGTTGATTTCGTTTCACTAGTGTTGTTTATAGAGATCTAGGTTTGCGGGCACAACAATGGGCAATCTAATCAGTTCCATGACAAATGGTCCTACCTGACAGTTTTATACCTTACCTGACATCATACGGTCACAAAGGGCATTTGTTTGTTTGGAAATTGAAATATCCACATTGAATACTGATTGGTATATTTCAACATGTGACATTAATGAAGACATGAGTACTTAGATAATGTTCCTGTTCATGAGGTGAGGTGAAATGGGATTTAACATCGTTTCCAAGATTATTGCACTTATATAGCGATGTGCATGTGTATGCATGGATACTATCCTACCCAAATATTATCCCGGGGGAGGTTTTACTCTAGAGTATAGTATCCTACCTTAGTGTGGGAAATCTGGGATAGGTTATGTCCAAATTAAGGGTAATGTGGGGGTAAATATATGTTGACAGGATTAATAACAGTGATATGGGTTCAAATTCACTAGGGAGAATCATCCTGACACTAGAGTATTTTATCCCCGGGATAAAAAATAGGGAAGGATAATATTCACTCTTACACCTGCATGTGTGTGATTTATAGTGCTAACCCACTGAGATACCATGCCGCAGTTTAATATGAATGCCCCACTCAGGTACAGTATACTGACTCCGAGCTGACCAGTCCTTGTTTTAGCCCCTTTATGCCAAGCACTAGACAGGGTAACAACAAGTTCCATCTTTTAACATCATTTGGAATCACAAGGCCGGGGATCAAACCCTGGCCCTTCTGCTCTCTGGGCGGACCCACTACCACTAGACCATGGAGGCAGTCTCCTGTTCATGAACTAATGACAGTAATAAAACATTCCTTCAGAGATGAGTATATGTTTCTTTAAATTCTTACTTGTTCGTAAGCAGATCTTATAATGGCCAACCTTTGTTTCATTAATTTGATCACAGTATTATTAAGGTTTGTTTATTGATAATTGAGTCTGGACCTGACAATCCAGTGATCGATATTGTGAACTACGTTTGGGGTATGATAATGTAATGCAGAAGGCTGCAGTGTTGGGGAGCCTTCACATTCTCCGAAAAGTTCTGGGTGGGTTTGACAACACAGCACTTCCTGAGAGTGTCCCATTCAACGTCTGGGCTATGTGTAGAGGGGGCAAGGGCCCTGAGCTGATGATGAGCCCAACCAGCCTGACTGCCAAGATCACCCAAACCCTCTTTATTTTAATCTGTACAGACGAGGAAGAAGGAGAAGCAGAAGAAGTAGTAGACAAAGAAGGAGGAGGAGAAGATGAAGAAGAAGAGGAAGGAGAATAAGAAGTAGTAGAAGGAGGAGAAGAGGAGGAGGAAGAAGAGGAAGGAGAAGAGGAGGAAGGAGAAGAAGAAGAATAGTAGTAGAAGTGGAGAAGGAGGTGGAGGAGGAGGAAGAAGGAGGAGAAGAAGAAAAAGAGGAGGAAGAAGAAGAAAAAGAAGAAGAAGAATGTAACTACCAGGGTATTGGCCTATTGGAAACCTTTATATTTCAGGAATGACAACCACTGTGCTATTGTTAAGCCCACCTATCGTATTGAGTGGCAGGCTAACCTGGAGGAATTTCTTTCATCATTAGTTTGTCAAGCTCCCCAACAATAATGAGATAATAAAATTACAAATAACAACAGAAATACAACTACCATACAATTTATGCTTTTGGCTACAATTATTTTCATTTCTGATAAAAGAAAGTTACAGATTAGATATTAATTTGTAATATCCAAGGATCAACAAAGGTGCGTGTACACGTTATATCTACAGGCGTCAACCTGTCACCTCTTGGTCTCTCACGACAAACACAATCTCCTATTCTTGAAATAAATGAGTGTTTGCTGTTTGTAAATAACATAAGACCGATAACACTTTAACACTGACTGTTTGTGTGTTCAAAGACCCATGTCCAAACTCACATTTAACAATGCTGTACACAGCATGAAATAGATGAGGTATGCATGTCACTGCTTGAAAGGCATTACGACAGATACACGTCAACATGAGTAGCGCCACAGAATCAGGTCAATTATAGGAAATTGTAAACCAAAAGTGACAAAGAAATTGTGACAAATATGAACTGTTTCTATAAATGACATCTAATTGCTTGAGTGTGAGGTCTTCCACAAATATCTAAACCTAAATAACACCAACAAAAATTATTTGTAGTTCCCAAGATAAATGAGATCTTTTATGAATAAAGAAAAAATAAAGAAAAAATATCTAACAAGCATATGAATTACACAACAGTTGCAATAACGACATAATATAGATATATTTTTTCAAACATTGGTTCTATTTATTCCTGAAACAGAGTGGCCATGCAAGATGGGGATGTTGATGAAAAGCAACTCAAAAAACATTATTTACTCAATTTTTTAAAAGATAATTATTTTTAGTTTTTAGTCAACAATTTAATCTTATTATTTCAATTCATAAAATTAATTTTCAACAAGTGACACAAAGTTATTTACAGTTTTTTATTCTGCTTACTGGATCAATTTGTATAGCATAATAACATGTACTTATGTAGGCCAGTTGTTCTGATTAATAGTCTGAAGCTACCCTGAAACTTTCCAACAAAAAATAAAATGAATATAGAAAATATTTAAAAAATGGCTTTTTGTTCAAACATTTACTGAGTTTGAACATGTCGTCATTGGAAACACACTGATTTTCCATCACTAGTTGATGGTGGTCCTTTTACTTTCTGAACATAAACTTTGAAAGTAGAGAGATGGGAGGTGAGGCATGTCGTGCCTTCTGGCGTGTTTATTGTGTATAATAGACACTTATATGGAAACAGAGCATGGGTTCGATTCTCAACCCCAAACGTACCCGAATTTGTACTTTACCGAGAAAGTGTAGTCCCATATAAAACGTTTGTTACATTTGACCTCTTTCTAAAAGCAGTGCGTATTCATTATTCTACCATGAATTTGGAATTTACTCGATTCTGATTGGTCAATCAGAGGCTATTAAATCACAATAAACCCCCTCTGATTGAAACAGCTGGTTTGACGGCCGCATCACCGCGGAAGCTAATATTCATAGAATAGTACTATTTTCAGTCAGTGTCGGTAGGCATATTTAAATAATTATATCTGCAATTACAGGTTAAAAAATGCACAGATGCGGTTACTACAATATTCAAAGGATGTGTGGCAATACATTTCGTGCAGAAAACACGATAGAAATCTACACAGGGAATGTATTTACGTTTTGGAGACACAGAGAGCTTGGAATTTTGGCGCTTTTCTATATACGACTGTGACGTCATTTCTTTCTCGTCACAATGAGCGATATGACGTCATAATGGTGACGTGCGATGTAGAGCGAAAGCCTTGCAAAGCTTGCTTTGTTTTCTTTAGGGATGCCAACCTTATGTCAGCTTACCAAGTTGCCGTGCTTATATGCTTTCAATGCCTGTCATATGTTAGAGTGAAGAATTACGGTGTAAACAAACTGCTTGAGTATATACGGCACCATATTTTGTTCGGTGATTCCGTAATTCAGATCGATAACCCACTCAAAACACTGAACTCAACCCATGCCGCTTCACTCAGTATATTTGCTAACACTAAAGAGTTCGCATTTTATTTAGTCATGGTAGAATGGAGATAAACATACTGTGTTTTCAATGTAGAGCTAGGTTACCTGTAGATTTAACTGCGCTAAATTTAACATTTGAAACCTCACGCTGCGCGTTCGGTTCCAAATTCAATTTAGCGGGGTTAAATCTACAGGTAACCTAGCTCTACATTGAAAACACAGTATGTTTATCTCCTAAATAAAATTCCAGTTAAAACCTACTCTTATTTCTGCAGAGCCTGATACTCATGCGTGCTAACGAAACAAATAAATCACAAACAGTCACACCTGATCAATGGTGACTGTTATTTCTCAAAAGTACCACATCAACAGTGTAATATACCCAACCATGAAAGGTCATGGGTAAATGGCCTCAAATATATCATAAACTATTCACCATAAGAATAATTATCATGTTCTATGTTAATACAATCTCATAAATAGTTTCCCTTTGAATTCGTTTGCCCCTCCCGTCATAAGTCCCTCATTTTGATTCACACACAGACACAAAATCCACTGTGTCTTCCATTAATGGCCCACTCAGAGCCAATTACACAATAACACCAAGCACAGTTCATCACAATAAATCTATTTGTGTCTGAACAGGGATAACTAGCTCTTTATAATCTTCTCCTGATCCAAATTGATTCCCTGTGTGGGCTCAAAGAAGTTATGACTTTCCTGTATTATATTCTAGTCTATTGACTGTTTCAGACCCGTCATGACTGATGTATATCTGGGTACTTGTCTATAGGAATGCTGTATAGAATGAATGGGAAAGTTACATTGTAACAGAGAATAAAATTAATCGAGCTAGAAATGTGATCCCATCCAAATATTAACACTTCTTTCAATTTTTTCAAAGCCTAATACCATAGTTCGTTTCATGTCTTAGGTTCATAATCAGTACTCCTTTCCACAAAGCGATATTAGCGCTACGCCTATCGTTAGCATATGTTAAAGTATGGGAGTTACGATCATCCTTGCACTATGATTATCGTTAGCCTATGTTAATATATGAGCATTACGATCATCTTAGCTCTACGAATATCGGAAACTCATGTTAAAGTATGGCAGTTATGATGATCTTAGCCTTACGACTACCGTAAATGTATGTTAAATTTTATCATCTTAGTGCTGAAGATCGCTTTGCGGAACCAATCCCACCAAAAGAAAGTCAAAATATTTCAATAAGGTGCAGACAAAACTGAAATGTACAATTTGTTTCATGTTTTTCTTACAAACTGAAATCATTTATATAAATTTCAAATCTGTATGTAAACGTGTCAAAGTCAATGACCAAATTCAGACATGTTGCAAAATGACTGAAAGTTTCATTCTACCACAACACAAATTGCCTGAAAGTGTCATTGATTTACTGGACCAAAAGACTAATTCTACGTGTTTAAGTAAACATGATCATAAGATCATAATTTACTCTTTTTATCAAATCCATATTATTTGTTCACAATTTCATTGATGTTCCCTGATAATAATTTATCAATATTCATTTGCAGGAACATCTTTAATTTATAACCTAATGAATTGTGTAACTCAACATGCCAGCAACATACTGCATACGTCTGTCGCGTCTGATGCACTATTTGACATACTGACCCACAGTCAGCAACACATGGAAAAAACATCCATCCACCGATAAAAGTCACGGCTCTCATTGGAGTTAGGTGTGAAACAGGGAAGTACATAGCTCGTCAGTGTGTATGAGTGTTTTCTTATTATCAGGTAACGAAAAATTATGATTACGTGTGAAAAGTGATAAAAATATAAAGAAAATATCGGACTGCAAGCAGCTCAACGTGAAGTGGCAAAAGTCAACAATTGCCATTTCTGGTAGTTGTGTGCCGCTAAATTTGGTCGATACTTTCTTAACTCATGATGTTTTCTTTTTGAGGTAAATAAACTACTGAAAGTTTTGATATTTTGAAGGTGAGAATTTATGCACATCACAAATAAAATAAATGATACACAAAGCCTACTTGTAAAACAGTTATTGCAAATTTCATTTGGGGGTGATCCTTGACTATGAGCCTGTCGACTGGGTTCGACAGTAGCATTGAGAGCATTAAGAGACGGATATTATGCCACACTGGAATTAGGGTGTGACTTGACCTCTCTGGCTCAGCTGGGGTGAGGCTAGGTGCTCCAGGACTCCTACCATGGTGTGCTGTTAAACTCTGACCTGATCTTTCCTGCTCTTAATGTTGTCTCTCCAACTGTGTGACATATTCGTTATGCATACCCATTGTGATCTACATCACTTTTTGAGATAATCAACTCCCACACCCCACTGCAAGACATATTGGCTGTACTCACCTCTGGATGGTAGCTGAAGAAGCTGGATTCCTCCGCTATTGCTTCCAAGATGGTCTGATCTGAAACAGCATTGTATTTTAAAATTGTAGTTTAACATTGTATTTTACATTGTATTTTAACATTGAAACATTGTATTTTAACATTGAACTTTAACAACGTATTTTACATTGTATTTTAACATTGATTTTAACATCGTATTTTAACATTGTATTTAACATTGTATTTAACATTGTATTTTTACATTGTACAAAACATCACATTTCAACACTGTATTTTAACATTGATTTTAACATTGTATTTTACATTGTATTTTAACATTGATTTTAACATTGTAATTTACATTGTATTTTAACACTGTATTTACCATTTTATTTTAACATTGATTTTAATATTGTATTTTAACATTGTAGGTTAACACTGTATTTAACATCCTATTTAACATCCTATTTAACATTGTATTTTAACATTGATTTAACATTGTATTTAACATTGTATTTTAACATTGACTTTAACATTGTATTTAACATTGTAGTTTAACATTGTATTTAACATTGTATTTTAACATTGACTTTAACATTGTATTTAACATTGTAGTTTAACATTCTATTTAACATTGTATTTAACATTCTATTTAACATTGTAGTTTAACATTGAAACATTGTATTTGACATTGTAGTTTAACATTGAAACATTGTATTTAACATTGTATTTAACATTGTATTTAACATTGTATTTTAACATTGTATTAAACACCTCTACAAACCCCTAACATTAGTTGTAGTAATGACAGCATCTATTGTCCCCATGGGGACCCGGAGTAGAAAGTGTTCCCAGCACCCCATTGCTTGTTTTGAGGTGACTAAATTGGGAACTCGTGGAGATTCTGGGTTAGAATTGGTCCCTGGCAACCTGTGCTGGCTGTAAGCTGATTTCATGAATCAGGTAACCAGCAGCAGTGATTTGGGTGATGGCATGTCAGCGTGCCCCGACTGCAGGGACCGTTGCTCATAATGTCAATCACTGGATTGGTAATTTACAGGCCAGCCTAGTTACACATTCATGCATGCAGTTACACATACAGTTACGCACATTTGCAATTTATGGACCTACTGAGTTTCACATGCAGTTACGCACACACTCAGTTTCGCACACATGCACGCACACCCAAATTTTTATTCCAGTTTGGGAATTTGTACCTAAATGTGCTGCTGACTTGGGGCCGAATATTGTCTGGAATACAGTGCTTGTCTCTAGAGAGACATATCTCCCCCAGACAATAGATTTCTACACGACTGTAGTACACATTTTCCTATTTCCGAATCTGCAGTGTTCAACAGGAACATGACTATCTAACTTGACACGATTACACATTTACAGTACTAAGACTGAACTGTAATTAAACAGGTATCCACCATCAAATCCTGCCGATTGTTAATCCCCACTCCAGGTTTACAACTTTAATCATGAACACTTAAAGTTCCTGGATATGACTTAACATGCTTAAGTGGCCCAGTCTGAATGAAAATAATAGGTCCTTTAATGAGCCTCCTTTAAGATCAGTCGGATATGTTTAAACATGGCTTTGATACACCACGTTAAGGGATTAATCTGAAAATTCTGTTACTTTCAATACCCAGAACTCAAGATCGGTAAATCTCACATATTAAAACTTAGCTGAACAGCAATCATAATTTACAACTTGATTAGTTGAACATATTAATTAAATGTATTTAAAACTGTACTAAGAACAGCATCTACTTGCTGTGGTTGTGATGTTATGTGCTCATACTGACTGTGACCTCCTTCAAGCGGGACAAAAACACTAGGTGTCTCGTAAAATAAACACTTGAAAAATGTTGACAGGTCCTGGAACGGTAAACATCCATTTGTCCATGGCTGAAAAGAAATCTTAATTGGCTGTATTTTGTAAATCATTTTGTAAAAATTTTTTTTTTTAAATACAATAGGTCTTTACAATAGACAAAATCTGTCCTGCTTCTTGGTTTAACGCCGCTTTGAACACTATTCCGGTTCTATCACAGTGCCTGAAAAACAGTATATTATATGCAATTTGAAACTGCACTGGTGTCATGTCAGTGAATTGTTTATTGACACAGTGCCACAAGGCATTGTTTACTTCTAAAGAGTGTGTTTGAACTGTTTTGAACAGTGTTTTACTCATATGTCACAGCATGTTGTTTCATATAGGAGTGAGTGAGTAGTGTTTTATGCCACTTTTAGCAATATTCCTGCATTGGGGGACACCAGAAATGGGCTTCACATATTGTACCCATGTGGGGCATCAAACCCGGGTCTTCGGTAAAGCAAATGCTTAACCATTAGGCCACCCCATCGCCTGTTTCATATAGGAGGGACTGTCTCCGTGGTCCTGTGGATAGAGTGTCTGGAGAGCGGAAGATCGGTGGTTCAAACCCAGGCCATGTGATACCAAAATCTACATGTAACCTAGCTCTACGTTGAAAACATCCTAACTATGATACCCCAAATCATTCATCTGTTATTAAATCAACATGTTAATAATTCTTTTGTCACTGCATGTATAACGTAAACATGAATTATCTGATTCTTGTCATTTGGTCTCCAGGGTACTGTTGTACAAAACAACCTCAGCGCTACGACTGTCGTAAGTCTATGTTAAGGTATGGGAGTTACAATCACCTTAGCGCTAAGATCGCTTTGTACAACACACCCCAGGTAATAAGTCAATCTAGCAAAACCACGACCAGTGACCCCTTTCATCTAGATGCTTCATAAGTTGTTAAAAGGGAGTACAATCACATATCGCACAGGTCCCCAAACAATATCTGGTGTTATTCTCCAATACAAATATTTGAATGTTGATTGGCTATGTTTGACGGATGCTATCTGTTAGATACCCACTGGGCAGCAATGAAATATCCATTATTTCAGCTGATGAGATGGGCTGATTGCCATAAGGGGTCTGTTTTATCACCCAGGACTACTTGGGTATAGTTTATTGATGGGCCAGTTGCTGATTTCTCATAGGAAATGGAACCCATGTGATTCTCTAAACATCCCCATCAAACATGACAGATCCGTGAACCTGTACAACCTGAACGGCTGACTGATAGACTGTGATGATTGTCGGCTTAGATAGGGAGTGTCCTGTGTTACCAGGTGTTAAGTGGACAGATCTATTATTGCTGGGACGGGAAACTCGGGTACTTGGGTTGGGTGGGTCCTGAGTAGGACACGGGTACCCACAGGACTACCCGGACCCCTGGTTAGTCATATAATATATTGTTTAATGATAACAATAAAATTCCATGGTTACACAAGTACAATTCGCAAATGTTCGCAATTTCTTTCTGACTATGCACACATTCCTTCTGACTTTTATATGTTTGAGTAAAGACAAAGCTTCAGTCAGCTTCTCTGTATGCATGATCAGATCAGTGTGTGCGCATGATCAGATCGGTTTATACATATCTAAATACTTTTTGTCATAGCTCCAGTTAAACAATTCCCAATTGAACATTTTTAACCCAACTTGAGACCTACAGTTGGTACCCAGGGTCGGGTAATAGGTACAGGTTCAGTACACGGTAGGCCATCTGTACTCATTCCAGCCCTAAGATCTATGCCCTCATGTATAAAACAGATGTAGTTGATGTGACCAATGGAAACTGCAGACTTTAGCATAGACTTACAACACTCAAAGCATGAAGACCCCATAACCTTTCAAAGAAATGTGTATTATTGTCATAGAGCTAAGACTGTTCTGCTTGGTTGAAACTAAAAGAACAGTGCCAAGGCACTGTAGCTCACCTGTATATAAAGTCAGTTAAGACATCGTATATTGGATGACAATATTTTTAAGAGGGAAGTGTCTTGTGAGTTGTTCCCAATAGATGTAGCTGGGCTACACAGATAATCACAGTGGCCGAACGATCACATCCAAAAGTTGGAGATATATGATGATGGGTACTAGGCGAAAAGATCATTGATGTCAGTATTGGGAGAATATACCTGAAATACCAAACTTAACCTGTTCATAAAAAGGACTTGTCTGACATTGCCAAGGTTGGATTCTATTCAGGGAGTCATCAATATAAAACTTTGGGTAAATATTTTTAAAGCTTGAACATTTTATCAACATCCTTAAAGAGGCTTACATAATGTTAATATAAAAAATAAACAACTCATGGTTGTTGTTTATTGTACAATAAAACACTGCAGGGAGAATGGGCCTCTCATGGTTTATTCTCCCTGCAGTGTTTTATTGTACAATAAACAATGACCACTTACCATTTATTTCCTAGATATATGTCATAGTCAGTGTGTAAAATGACTGAAAGTTTCACTTTGGCAATTTACAAAATGATTATTTTAGTCATTTCACTGACTTTTCAAATTGACTGTGTAATTCCAAATATTTTTATGTTGAATTTCATTACCCTGGGACTGAAAATGATAAGATTAAAAGAAAACGAAAGTCAATGTATATATATCTGTCTCCTTATCCTTGCATAATTACTCAATTGTGATGTTTTTAAGTCCTTTTGAATTTTTTAATAATTTTAATTTTCTGTCAAATAGATGGACACACTTTTCAGTCAGTTCGTAAAATGACTGAAATATGTTGGCATTTTGTAAATTTTGAATTGAATCCCATTTCACACATTGACTGACATGTTTATATACAGCAATCTTTGAGCACTAGCTGACCCCTATTTCTGCAGGTGGATGGAAACATGGCTGATTTGCAGCTTACAGTCACACCCCAGCAGAAACAGCTTCCTGGCCAGTGAGCAATAAGTTCTAAAAGTCAAACAGCCTAGCTACACAACAGCTGCCATCAATCAAATAATTATGTCTCAACTGTGTTTCCTTTTTCACTTGGTGCCACTGTGATGGGTCAATGGCGGGCTATAGCCCACTCCCAACCTTGTGACATAGGAATCAGATAGGCCCCATGGGCAACTATTTGTTATGGATATTGAGTGGCTGTTTCACTGGAAGACTTCAAATGTTGCAAATCTGTAACCACGGACATAAAAACTGGCAAAACATGTCC